TGGCAAGACCCTGTCTCACATACACACATACACACATACAGACAAATTTTAAAAGCTCTTCATACACTAAATAAATTTTTAATAACTAAATTTTGTTATCTGTGTCATGCTTTTTTTCTTCCTTTCACATTTTTAATTTTTATTTCTTTTACATATTTTGTCTTTTGGGTATTTTTACACACATACAAGAGACTAACTCATGCATGCACACACACACACTGCTCTCAAGACATATTTTTAAAAGGCCTCCTCTATAAAAGATTTCCCCCTAGGCTTTAGTTTTCATTCAAAGTTTCAATCAACCTGGAATTTATTTATTTTTTATCCTTGGTTTTTGAGACAGGGTCTCACTGTGTAGCCCAGGCTGGCCTTGAATTCAGTGACCCTCTTGCATCAGCCTCCCAAGTATTCCACCATGCCCACCTACATGGCATTTATTTTTAAATGACACATAATTATACATGTTTCGGATATGTTGGAATATTTTGATACATGTATATAATGTACAATTATTAAATCAGGACAATTATTATATTAGCAGCCTCAAAAAGTGTATTTTAATATAAAGAGACAGGTAAGGATCCAACAGTCTGCATTCATAAACACTCACACATACAGTGTTTAGGTTTGTTTCTGTATTCTATGCTGAAATTTCAGTTTCAATAACAGTTTTAGTTATGTAGTTTCACAGTACATTTTTAAATGTGCTCTAGCATCTCATTTAATTCAGAATTTTCCTAGCTGTCCTAGAATGTTTATTTACCTAGTATTTGTATCATTTTGACATACTTTTAAAATTCCTTGGCAGTTGGCTTGGAATTGCTTTGAATTAATAGATTTCTTAGGGAGAACTGGCATTTTTATGATGTGCAGCCTAAGAATAAACAACATTTCTACATTTATTCTTTTACTTTTTAAAGTTAAGTTTATTCCTAGGTAGTTAAAATATTGTTGTTGTTCATGGGCTCCTTCCTTCCATTGTGCTATTGTTTACTTATAAGAAAGCTAATAAATATATTGATAATTATAGTATCTCTAATATTTCAAAATTAAGCATAATTCTGCTTTAGTCTTTGAATCTCTTCTGGATCCATGTGATTTAAAGAGGGGGAATTAAAACACAAACAGATTTTTGGTTGAAGGTTTAACTGAACCCCAGTTCACTACTAGATTTGGTACCCAGGCCTGCTGAAACCCTCTGTAGACTGCAGGAGAGTGAGCCCACCTCCCTGGCCCTTAGCCCAAGCTCCTGCTCCAAGGATGTTAACGCACAGTACTTCTCAGGCTAGACTTTCAAGATATATGACAGAGCCACTGGCTGGGAAGTATGGGGATCTATCTTGAGGGGCTGCTGCTACTGAGCCCCAACCTAGCATGGCCATGTGCGAATAAGCCCCACAGAGGCTGACTGTTATGATTTTTCAAGGGGAGTCAGTAATTCAGCCTTTTACCTTTAACGTGTTGAATTAAAATGTCTAAATATCCTGTATGGGCCAAACTACACTTATCTGTGGCCTAGGTGAGCCCTGATAGCTGGCAACCTGCATTCCACTCCTGTTGAGTGGAACCTCAGGAAGTTGACTTCCGTCTCCACACTCCCAGAGTCACTATCCACATCCAAATACGCATACACATGAAGGAATATAGTCTCCTTGTGAGCTGCCTCAACTTGAGTTTCCATGCTCCACCTCCAATCACAAACTGCCCTCTGTGTCATACACTCTCCTCAGGGATTTTATTAGATCAACATACGGGTGCTGAGAGACCAGGATCATTGCATAGATGAAAAAAGTGAGACTCATAGCTGTGTCCAAAGTCAGACAGAATGAAGTGACAGCACTGGGGGTGGCCCCCAGCTTATCCATGCAGCAGAATGGCCAGCAGCACAGCCCCCCCCCCCACCGCCGTGTTCAACCACAGCACCCTTGAACACTGGCTGTGATGTCAGGAAAAATACCTGCCTGCCCTAGGTCCCAGTTTCTTTACATATGATATTCATTGCATCACCTCCCAGTGTTCTTCTGAGGGTAAAAAACGGGCTCACTCCAAAAGGGTGCTTGGGCCGTGGATTTACCTCAGTGGCATAAGTGCCTTTCAAATGCAGAGTTGTGAGTTTGATCCCTGGTACCTATAAAAATAAAAATAAAAAATAAAAGGAAGTGCTTGGTGCCTAAGCACTCCATGAAATGACAATGACTATTATTATGACCTGGTCCACACTTCTTTCTGCTCTACCCTTTGCAATTGCTTGTAGTACTTTGAAAACTGTAATGTCTGGGGATCTAGAAGACTCTTCATGGTTCTCCTTACATTGGGGAAGGCACTGCCTCACTGAGCCTAGCTTCTGTACCTGCACAATGACATATCATCAAAAGTACTGTCATGGTTGCAGGTGACATCAGAGGAGAAGACATCACAGAACATCCGTGATGGCAGTAAAATTTCGGGAGAACTAAGTGAAGCTCTCTGGCTCCAGCCTCCCTTCATTCTCCTAGCTTGCAGGCTCCTCCTCATTACATGTGCATGCAGATCAGGTCACTGTGGCCTTCTTACTCTCATGGGGCTCCCAGACCTGCAAGTGGGGCCCAGCTGCTTCAGTCTGAGCCTTGGTGCTGACCTGTCAGCTCAGGTCGCAGAGTTGGCCTCACTGCCTTGCTGTTCCAATTTAAAGGGCTTTGGAACTGAGATCCTGTTTCCTCTGTTTCTTCCCCTATGGTTTTCTCAGCCAAGGACAATCGTCAGCCTCCCTGATGTACCAGCAACCTAACTGTGTGTCTAAGAAACCTTGTCTCTGCCACTGTGTACTGTGTTCTGCCCTCAAGGCACCCTTCCAGCTTAGGCTGTACCCACAGGCTCTGGCCCAAGTGTGGGCCTCAGTACCCCACTGTCTAAGGGCCCCCTGTCTGTCATGGTGGCCTTCTCCAGGGGCTGGCAGTTCAGACAGTTTCTGGTGCTCCCCAGTAACCAGTGCTGCTGGAAGAGGGAGTATGGTGGGTGGAGAGCAGCTGTAGCAACATGCACAACTTTGACAATCCATGTGACAGGTCTCTTCAGAGGAGTGACAACAGCCACACACATTGGGTGCTAACTGTGTGCTATGCAAGCATCTAAGTACTTTAGAGTGAGCCCGTTCATCCTCGTAACTACCTTGTGCGGTAGGTGCTACCATTATACAGCTCAGAAAACAACAGCAGGCATTTGTGTGAGGTTGGGTGGCTCCTCCAAGATAGCTGCACAGCTAGCAAATGACAGGTCCAACCCTAACTGTGAGTGGGGAGCCCATGCTGTTTGTCGCTGTTGTATTACCTGGCACAGTGCTAGGGGTGAAAGCCAGGACTTGGTGTACACTGACCAAGTGCTCTACTGCTGAGAGCCAGGGCTTTACCCTCACAGTGAAATGGATGCTGGCCCTGGCCTCCAGGAAGGCAGCTGTTTGGTACATACCCAGCCTGAGCCTCCTAGGTCAGGACCTAGCCTCTGCTGAAATTTTGAAATGCCAATCACAAGCTGCAAAGAATCCCACTCCTTGAAGCTGTTGCCAACCAGGGCTGCTTTGCTCATGAAATGAATAAATCCTCATCTACAGGAGCCATCTCTCCAGAGGTTTCCCTGTCACTTCTCTCAGCCACAGTTCCTTTGGCATTTGTTTTCCTCTGGTTTTCTTGGAATCATGTACAGCCATGTCTTAAGCACAGCTAAAACTGTGACCCAAGCAGTTTCCTGCCTGGTCTGTTCCAAGACCTCATCACCCCGTTAAAGTAAAAATGGCCAATCTCATCCAAAAATACCAAAAAGCCTTCCTCCCACCATGTATTCATTCTCCCTCTCCCTCTTCCACTCAATCCCTTATAATCCAGGTCCCCTCACTTGTCAAAATGGGGTAGGACTGTGGGCCTGGTACACTGCTCCCAATGTCAGCAGGTGTGGGGCTGGTCAGGTTGGCCTTCATGTTATCTAGCCCTCCAGCCAATGAAGCTGTGGCTGAGCATTCAGTGGTCTGAAAGAGGAGACAGAAACATCTCAGACCAATAGTCTGAAACACCACAATCAAAAGCAGCACCGTGTACTGGTCTAATCCAAGCCTGTGTTGAAGCCCACAGTGGGTCATGAATCCCTGTTGGAAGTACAGATTCAGACATAGACGATTTCTAAAATTGACAATGCTCCCCAGGTAAAGAGAGGCAGAAGTCTACATCAGCTTCACAGGAAGTCCAACTTGCCTTGCTTTTGGTCTGCAGAGCACCTGGTCCAGTCCTAGTCAGCCAGAGCCACCATCTTCCTCCAGGCAGGGAGGGAGACTTCAGTAACCAAAGCAAGGCAGAAGTAAGAATCTTCTTGGCAGCAAGATGGACAGAACACTTCCCAGTTTCTATGCTCTCATGCCACAGGATGGAATCACAGGAACAAGTGTCAATGGAAATCTGGGAGATCACCCAGTTCAAATTCCCATGTCACAGGTGGGCAAGCCAAAGTCCAAAGACTGAACCATAAGCATGAGTGCACGTCTCTTCCTCCCAAGCCTATTTTCCATTAAGAATACTCTTGCAGACACTTAAGCCAAAGAGTCTGGTTGTGCTTCCCAACCTCTGGAGTGGGCAGTGTTTTGAGACCTTGGCATTGTCAGTAGAGGGATGTCCCTATCTGCCCAGTGTTATGGCCTTCCAGGCAGGGAAAGGAGAACAAGCGGTTTTCTGGAAGGGACTGCAGGCATCCTGTGTAAAATGAGGGTAATCGAGCCACTAGAGGAAACCAAAGGAGCCCCTGTTCAAGGGGAAGTTGGAATTCGGTCCCAGACACATTCTCAGGACTTTGCTCTGCAAATCAGTTAGAAAGTTCTCCCTGAGCAGCTTCAGCACCAACTGGCGTTGGTGGCAGCAGTTAGCACAGGCGTGGCTGAAGGCCCAGGTGCCTGAAATGCTGCTCATGGAGGACAACACATCCAGGGACACAGGCTCATCACCCATTTTCCAGCAGACGATTCTGAAACAAGTGGAGAAGAGCCAGGCCCATAGCATGCCAGAGACTTCTAAGGGAGCAGAACAAGCCTAGTGAGATCAGCCTACCTCCAGCAGTCAGTATACAGCCACAGTAATTAACACAGTGTGATACTGACACAGAGAAAGAAAAATAGACTGCTGAAATGGAATTCAGGCCAAAAACTGATCTGTACACATATGAAACCTTGATATATGAGAGATGTGATGTATAAATCAGCAGGAAAAGATGGACTCTTTAATAAACAGTGTGGTGGTAACTGATATCCATTCAGAAACAGAGGGAAAAAAGAAATTGGATCTTTACACCAGACACAAAAATCCAATCCCTGAGGGATTGGAGACCTAAATGCAAAAATCAAGGGTGTGAGACTGTTTCGGACTGCTGCACCTAGCCATCGGTGTGCAGAGGAGGGGTTGGGTGGATCTGGGGCGCCTGCATTGGCCTCCCTGTGTGTCTGGGGGACTGTGGATGTCTCTGCGAGCGGTGGAGCATCACAGGTTCTGGAGGCCCTGCAGCCTGTGGTGAGTGCTCAGCACACTCTGCCCAGAGCCCAGACTGTTTGGGTCCCTCCAGGCTTCCAGATGCAGTGAAGTGGAGAGGTGGGTTTGAGGCGTCTACATCCGCATCCACATAGGCTGCGATTGGAGAGCTGTGGTGCTTCCAAGGGGCAGGTGGGCGCACAGTGTCCCTGAGGCCCAGCTTGTCTGGAACTGCAGAGTTCTGAGGAGGCAGAGGAGAGCCATTGGTTCTGCAGGCCCAGTGGCTTGGGGTAGCGTGGTGCCAGAGTCTCAGTAGCTGCAAACATAGAAGGGGATTTTCAACAGATCCTGAGGAAGCTTTCAAATAACACTTGAAACACAGAAATATAGGAAAATGACAAAACAAAAGACCAAATTACAACCTCAAACCTCCAGCCCATCTCAAGAAACCCTAAGAGCAACATATAGAGAAGAAAATATATGCCATACACCTCAAACATTGGACATAATATCTACTGAAATAAAAAAGCAGCTCCAGGAAGCTTTAAAGGAGTTTGAAATCAAAATAATCTCCCAGCTAAAAGAAGAAATGATAAAAGAAATGAAAGAGATTCTGAATATATCTAAAGAAAACACAGTTAAAAAATTGGAGGAACTAAACAAAAAGATAGAATCCCTAGATGAGCAATATAAGAAACAAAAAGAAGAATACATAAAGCAGATGCACAGAGATATACAGGAAATAAAAAACTACACTGAAAGTTCTAAAAACCGCCTTAATGAAAGTGAAGATAGAATTTCAGACCTTGAAGACAGGATTGCAGCTAGTGAACAGGAAAGGAAAGATCTTTTAAAAATAACAAGGAATCAGGAAACAACAATTCAACAACTGCAAGACAATGCAAAGAAGAATAACATAAGAATGATAGGGATTAATGAAAAAGAAGGAGACAACATAAAGGATGTCAAGAGGATATTTAGAGAAGTAATAGCTGAAAATTTCCCAAGCATGAAATCAGAAACCGACATCAGGATCAATGAAGCATATAGAACTCCAAATAGTCATAACCAAAATAAAATACACCCAGACATATAATAATCACCATCCCAGAAATCCAACACAAGAATAGATTATTAAAAGCTGTCAGAGAGAAAAGACAGATCACTTATAAAGGAAAACCTATCAGAATCACAGCAGACTTCTCAGCACAAACCATAAAGTCAAGAAGAGCATGGAGTGAAGTATTCCAGATCCTAAAGCAAAATGATTTCCAACCTAGACTGATATATCCTGCAAAACTATCATTCAAAATAGATGGTGAAATATGATACTTCCATGACAAAGAAGAGCTGAAGAACTTCATGAACACCAAACCAACCCTGCAAAAAATATTGAAAGTTTAGATACACAAAGGAAAAAACCACTAAGCAAAGTAAATAATTAAACAGAACAGAAAGATAAAGATGCAACAGCAGAGAGATAACATTCCAACAATAAACCAGCATTTAACAATAATAACCATTAATGTAAATGGTCTCAATGCACAAATCAAAAGAAACAGACTAGCAGAATGGATCAAGAAACAAAATCCAACCATATGCTGTTTACAGGAAACCCATCTAACCCAGAAGGATACTCACAGACTGAAAGTCAAAGGATGGAAAAGAATACTTCATGCAGCAGGAATCCAAAAAAAGGCAGGAGTAGTCATTCTGTTTGCAGACAACGTGAACTTTAAACCAACAATCACCATAAAGGACAAAGAAGGTCACTACATACTCGTAAGGGGAAAACTCCAAGAGGAAGAGATAACTATCTTAAATATATAGCACCAAACTCCAGAGCACCCAGTTATATAAAACAATTATTAACAGAAATGAAAACTCAAATTATCAGTAACACAATTGTAACAGGAGATCGTAATACGCCATTGACACCAAGGGACAGATCAACCAGACAGAAAATGAGCAAAGAAATAACAGAACTGAATCACACCTGTGAACAAATGGGTTTGATAGACATATACAGAATGTTCCACCCAACAACATCAGAATACACATTCTTCTCAGCAGTACATGGATCATTCTCTAAAATAGACCATGTATTAGCTCACAGAACATATTTAAACAAATGCAAAAGAGTTGAAATCATCCCTTGCATGTTATCGGATCATAGCGCTCTGAAATTAGAAATTAATGATAAAAGATACTGCAAAAATCCTACAAACACATGGAAACTGAATAACACACTCTTGAGTAATCACTGGGTCACAGATAAATTAAAGAAGAAATTAAACAATACCTAAAAGAAAAATGAAAATGCTAATACAACTTACCGGAATCTGTGGGATGCAATGAAAGCCGTCCTGAGAGGAAAATTTATTGCACTGAGTTCCCACATCAGGAAAACAGAACGAATACAAATAAATAACTTGATGCTACACCTCAAATAGCTAGAAAAAGAAGAGCAAGTCAAGCCCAAAGCCAAAAGAAGAGAGGAAATTATAAAAATCAGAGCAGAAATCAATGCAATAGAGACTACAAAAACAATCCAAAGAATCAACAAATCAAAGAGTTGGTTCTTTGACAGAATAAATAAAATCGATAAGCCCCTAGGCAACCTTATTAAAAAAAGGGAAGAAAAAGCTCAAATTCATGCAATAAGAAATGAAAAAGGTGAAATCACTACAGACCCAACAGAAAAACAGAAGATCATCAACACCTATTTCGAAAAGCTCTATTCTCAAAAGTTTGATAACACAGAAGAAATAGACAGATTCTTAGAAGCATATGAAGTACCAAAGCTAGATCAAGAGGATGTAAAACTGTTGAATAACCCAATCTCTGTTAATGAAATTGAAAATGTAATTAAGTCCTTACCCACCAAGAAGAGCCCAGGCCCAGATGGATTCACTGCAGAATTCTACAAGAAATACAAAGAAGACCTAATGCCGACACTCCTCAAAATTTCAATGAAATTGAAAGGGAAGCAATCCTTCCTAAGTCATTCCTGGAAGCAAATATTACTCTAGTACCAAAACCTGAGAAAGACCCAACTAAAAAAGAGAACTATAGCCTGATCTCCCTAATGAACACAGATGCAAAAATCCTCAATAAAATATTGGCAAATAGGATCCAGCAAATCATCAAGAAGGTTATACACCATGACCAAGTGGGATTCATCCCAGGAATGCAAGAAATGATCACATGATCATTTCTATAGATGCAGAAAAAGCCTTCGATAAGCTCCAACATTTATTCATGATAAGAACTTTACAGAAAACTGTAATAGATGGTCTTTACCTCAATATAATATAGGCCATTTATGACAAACCAACAGCCAGCATCATAAAAAATGGCCAAAATTTGAAAGCCTTTACTTTAAAATCAGGCACAGGACAAGGATGTCCTTTATCACCACTCCTATTTAACATAGTACTTGAAGTACTAGCCAGAGGAATTAGGCAAGAAAGAGAGATAAAAGGGGTAAAGATAGGAAAAGAAGAAGTTAAATTATCATTGTTTGCAGATGACATGATACTCTACATAGAAGACCCCCTAAACTCCATTGAAAGACTCTTAGATACAATAAATAAATTCAGTAATGTGGCTGGATACAAAATCAATACTCAGAAATCAATAGCATTCCTATACATGAACAACAAAATCACAGAGAGGGAAATAAGAGAAAGTGCACTCTTCACATTAGCAAGCAAAAAAATGAAATATTTAGGAATTACTCTTATGAAAGAAGTGAAAGAATTATACAGTGAAAATTATAATACACTGTAAAAGGAAATTGAGGATGATCTCAGAAAATGGAAAGATATCCGTTGCTCATGGATAGGAAGAACAAACATTGTGAAGACGGCCATTCTCCCAAAACTGTTGTACAGATTCAATGCAATCCCAATAGAAATACTGTCAACATACCTTTTAGATCTAGAGAAATCACTCCTAAATTTCATCTGGAACCAGAAGAGACCTAGAATAGCAAAGGCAATTCTAAGCAGCAAAGACAAAGCAGGAGGCATCACAATACCTGACTTGAGGTTATACTACAAAGCAACAGTAGTTAAATCAACATGGTATTGGAATCAAAACAGAGCTGAAGATCAGTGGAATAGATTAGAAGATACAACCACAAGTACAAACACACTCAACCACCTTATCTTTGATAAAGGAGCCAAGCAGTTTCACTGGAAGAACTACAGTCTCTTAATAAATGGTGATGGAAAAACTGGCTCTCCATTTGCCGAAAACTAAAGCTAGACCCATATCTATCACCATGTACTAAATTAAAATCTAAATGGGTCAAAGATCTGAATATTAAAACAGAAACACTAAATCTATTGGAAGACAAATTGGGTAGAAACCTTGAAGACATAGAGTAGGTAGAGAATTCATGAACAGGACTCAAACCGCACAGGAAATACTTCCCAGAATCAATAACTGGGACCACTTCTTATTAAAAAGTTTCTGCATGTCAAAAGAAATCTCCAGCAGAGTGAAAAAAAACCCACAAACTGGGAAAAGATTTTAGTGAACTCTCTCTCAGACAAGGGACTCTTGTCTAAAACATATGAAGAATTAAAAAAACTCAGACCCCCAAAATTAAAAGATCCAATCCAAAAATGGGCATCTGAGAAGAATATGCACTTCTCAGATGAAGAAATGCAAGTGGCATGTAAATACATGAAAAAATGTTCATCATCATTGGTCATTAGAGAAATGCAAATTAAAACCACACTGAGATACCATCTCACTCCTTAAAGAATGGCCAGGATCAAGAAAACCAACAACAACCAGTGATGAAGAGGCTGTGGGGAAAAAGGATCTCTCCTGCACTGTTGGTGGGAGTGTAGACTGGTGCAGCCTTTGTGGAGGTCTGTCTGGAGATTTCTCAAAAATTTGGGATTGGAAATCCCATTTATTCCACTATTGCACTTCTAGGCATATTCCCAGAAGAACTGAAAGCATCATACCACAGTGATATATGTGCACCTATGTTTATAGCAGCACAATGTGTAATCACCAGATCTTGGAAACAACCCAAGTGTCCATCAACTGAGGAATGGATAAAAAAGTTGTGGTATTTCTCTACAATGGAGTATTATTCAGCTATAAAGAAGGATCACATTGAGATATTTATCAATAAACGGCCACAGCTTGAGACCATACTCATAAGTGAAATAAATCAATCTCGCATGTGTGAATACCGAATATTTTCCCTAATGTAAGTAATGATTCAAATATATAAAAATATGGGGTAATCATGATTCCCCATTATGTGGCCTTGAAGCCTTATAAAGTTTTCACTTATCAATTGGAAAGGCTTTATTCTGGGCTTCTTGATATGGAAATATTTGAAGCTATAGTATATGAAGTTTTATTGAAATATTTCAAGGAAAAAGACAGACACTATGGTAACAACTAGTAAGTCGGGTTATTTGGTGGTGAAGCACTAGGTTGCTGAAACAGTCATGCTTTGACCTGTATTGTTATATTGTTATGTCCTTTTTTATCTCAACCTCTCCCTTATTCTTTAAAAAATTATTGAGTTATTTCTTATGTTTGTTTTAATTAAGGGGAAAATTTAAAAAAAATTGGCAGGATATATAATAGTAACTTTTTTTTGATTTCCTATTAACTTGTTTTGAAGTCCTATAATACTCCCACAATCTTGTTTTGACTGATTAGACTCTGTTCCATTCTCTATGATAGTATCAATTTTGAGGGTATAGGCAACTACTTTGAAGGCAATAAGATTCACTAAGATGCCCATTCTGGTTTTACTATTGTCTCCTTTGGAAGTCCTGTAATGTTTACAATGTTTAAGTTTTATTGGTCTTGTTCTCTACTATTTTGTTCAACTTTATAATATCTAATGAGATAGACAATTCTGTTTAAGGAAACAAGAGACATTGTTTATAACCTTGTACTCTCTTTTACATCATGTGCTATGTCTATCCTTGGTTTTGTCTGACAGCTTTGTTTTGCCATATTTGACTTTATTCTCTCTCCCCCCCCAAAAAAAGTAATAAGAACTAAGGAGTAATAAAACCCAAAATGTGTAAATTTTGTTGTAAAAAAGAGAGGGAAAAAAAGAGCTCTAAAGGATACAACAGCAAGTGTGTTTAGGGGTGTTAAATAGCTGACCATATTAATGTTTTTGGTTGGATCATTGAACACAATTGTTTGCAGTCTCACTATTTGAATGTCCACTTTGTATTCTTTGATAATGTGATTTGAGCAACTATTTCTAAGATGATAATATGTAATCTATTAACTGGTGATTTTTTACTTTTTTTTTTTTTGTAGTTCTGTGTTACGTGTACCCTTACACTGCTTTGTTTATTTTTGTGTTTTTCTCTTTTTCCTTTTAAATAAAAAAATTTTTAAAAGGGTGTCTAACATTTTCAGACACAAAAATCAAATCCCAGATGAATTAGAGACCTAAATGCAAAAATCAAGGGTGTCTAACATTTTTTAGCTCTATGTCTAGCTAAAAAGTCCTTGGGCACAAGTCTGTCTGTAGATTGAAAAATGTGGGGGTTTGTGGGTTGGTATTTGTACAGGGTTCCCATCACTGTAAGAACATGAGAAGGTGCCAGTACCTGTCAACCTCCTTAATGCCGCCTCCTCCACAAAGTCTTTCCTGGCTGCCACCCCCCAGGAAGCACGAGTCCCATTCTTCCTGTGGTCCTGCCAAGGGGTACTCAGAAACTAACCGCCATAATCTTCACAAGCGCATTAAGCTTCCAATTATCAGGCTTTTCTTCTGTGTTAGGAACTGTGCCCAACCACTCTCACTTCATCCTCCTGGTTACCCATGAAGCAGGTTCTATGGTCTGCATTTTACTTGTGGAGAGTCTAAGATATCTGTTATAGAAGGAAAGTGAATGGCAGAAAGTCACAGTTTTTAGGTGCCAGAACCAGGATTCAAACCTGGACCCCTCTGACTCTAACATCTTCATGATTATCCAAATGATTTTCAGACCATGGGTCCTGACCCACAAACAGTAGTGAGATAAATTTGCTAGTCTAACAATTTAAAAAAATAAAGTTATAATGAAATAGAACAAGCTGGACATGGTGGCGTGTTGGCCAGCACTTAGGAGGCCAAGGCAAGAGAATTTCTGTAGTTTAAGGCCACCCTGGGCTACATAGTGAGATCCAGGCAATACCTTGTCTTATATATCAGTGGGTATATGTGTACCAGGAAGAGAAGAAACTGTATTTCTTACTGTAAGTTACATCCAGCAATGTCTGAAATATTCAGCCTTCATCCTGTGCAGCAAGGAGCTGTTGGGAAGAGGTCACTGTCTAGACTTCATCCCTGTAGAATGACCCTTGGCCGTTACATTGTCCTCCTGATTTGCTAATGATGAATTTGGAAGTTAAACTCACCTGAAGCAGCTCCTTTCGTGCACTGCTGTGTGCAAAGTTAGAAGATCAAAATGCCTATGCAAGGGTCTCTTTCCACATGGCATCTTCTCAAGATTCTGAGCCCTGAGAGTGAGCTCCAGTTCCTCCCAATCCTTTCTGTGTCCTGGAGCCCTATTTAATCGAGACAGTATGTGAGACCGGACACACTCTTGGACCTTCATCCACAAATCCCAAGTGAAAAGGCATATGGCCCCAGTGACTCCACCCAAGAGGGCTGAGAGTGCATAACCATTAGGTTTCATGGGCAGGGGTAATTAAGACAGGTTTCATGGGGCAGGCTGTTTTTAAACTGGAGCTCAGCAACCCTTGATCCCAGGCTAAGAACAGCTCAAGGAAGGCTCTGGAGGGAATAAGGGCCAGCATGTATGAGGTACCTGGAGCTGGTGGAAATATAAAGTAGACAAGCTGGAGTTTGACTATGAGGGACTTGTACAATGGCTGAACAATGGAACAGTGATCCTTCAGAGGGCCCAGTAGTGTCTTGGCCAAGACTCAGCACCCTAGTGTGCTTGCCCAATCCTCCTAGCCCTGTCCCCTCTCTGTCTCCAGCTCCGCTTCTCTCCCATGGCTGGGCAGCCAGATCTGCACTGAAAGTCCCTGTTCCACACACACCAGCAAAGTAATAACCATTCTCCTCTCTAAATTTCACATCTGGTGGTATTTTGCACAGACCACCATTATCATACTTCTTGACATCACATATCATGATTGTTAGCCTGTCTCCTTCCATGTTACCTTGAGCACACAGAACATAGAAAACATCCTTGCATCCCCCACATGTTCACTGTGTGAAAAAGTGAATCTATGGTCCAGCAGCATGGTAGAAGCCATAGCTCTCAAAAACTCACTGGTATTACCAGGAAAGCTCGAGGAACTCAACAGTCACTACAGCCACAGCTCACAAATGTATGCCAGGCCCTAAGTGCTGAAAGTACACTCAAACAGTCTTGCTGAATAGGAGGTTTCAGTGGAAGACAACTGCCCAACAAAATAGGCAACAAATGCAGGACACAATGGAGAATCGCTGGCCACACCAAGAAACAGGCAAAACACTATTCAAATGAAAAAAGCTAAGCAAATGAATATGACTCTAAGGTTGGAGTTAACTGATAAGAGCATTAAAGCAGCTGCCATGAAAGTGCTTTGACAATTATAAATTCTGTCAAAACAAATAGGGGAAAAATGAAAAAAATCTCAGTGAAGAAATAAAAGTATTTTTTTTAAAGGACAAAACAAATTACTGAAAACCATGACAGAAATAAAAGTTCATTTGCTGGCCTTCATTGAAGGGCAGAGGTGACAAAAGACTATCTATGAAGAAAGAGTAGGATTCCCTCAACCTGAGCAGTAGAAAAAAACTGTTAAAATAAGCAGAGCAAAAGATATGACATTTTTATTATCAGAGTGCCAGCCAGAGAAGAAAAGGAGAACAAAAATACTATTCAAGGAAATAATAGTTGAAAACTTTACAAATCTAGTGATATACATATTCAGATTTAAGAAGCAAACTTCTGAATCAGAAAACACAAAGAAATCTATGCCAAATTTGGGATCAGTGGTAAAGTATAATATCTTAACAAAATTTGAGCACATTAAAAACAAAGAAAAACAGCTGGTGTAGCTTATGTCTAGATGTTCCCCAATTTTCAGAGGTGGCTGGATCTAGAGTTTGTGATGCTGGGACTGATTCATGGTGCTGTGCTAGGGTCAAGGACACTAGTGGTAGGGATACGAGTGCTACTGGCTCCCAATAGCCTGGGTTAGATAAGAGGGGCAGAAAGAGCTGTTGTTGTCCCTTGTTGCTTTGCTGCTTTCTATCAGCCTGGAACAGTTCTCCTCCGCAATGGTGCCCTGCCTTGGAGCCAGCTGCTAATGGGCTGAAACCTCTATGAACTATGAGCTAAAGTAGTCTTTCCTCCTTTATGTTAGGGTATTGCATATTTTATCTCAGCAACAAGAAAAGCAACTAAGACAGCAGCCAATGGGAAATAACAAATTATAGGAAAACACCAATTCAAAACCAATGAATTTCCTATCTCAAACCTTACAAACTAAAAGCAACAGCACAATATTTATTAACTACAAATTCTATATCCAGGTAAACTATCCATTTAGAACAAAGGGCAAATAGACTCTTAAGAGTAAAAAAAATTAAAAGAATGTTGTACCAATATACCTGCTTTTAAAGAATTGATGACCTTTAAGTAAAAAATTCTGTTTTTTGGTACTTAAGATCCTTGCTCTGGCCCAGGCCATGGAACTTCACAGCTTCCTGCTGTATTGGACCAACTCAGTGGGTCTTAAGCCTGCCTGCACCAACTTGCCCACTTCCTGTGAGTTTGGTGGACTCTGGAGAATTGGCCTCCCTGTGCCCTAACTTTTGAAACTGGGCGGCCTGAGGTGAGTGTCCCTGCACCATCCCAAACCAGGGAATTTGGGATCATTGCTCCCACCAGCCAAGGAACTTCACAGCTTCCTGCCACATTCACCCTACCACGCAGGACTTCGGCCTGCCTGCCCCATCCGCAGTGACCCTCTCTTAATCCAGGAAACTTGGTGGCCAGAGAAGCAGGAGCTGAGGGCATAGAAAAAAATCTCCAACAGGCAGAATGGATCAAGAAATAAAATCCAACCATATGCTGTCTACAAGAAACCCATCTAACCCAAAAGGATAGTCACAAACTGAAAGTGAAAGGATGGAAAACAATATTTAATGCAATAGGAACCAAAAAACGTGGGGGTAGCTATTCTGTTTGCAGACAATGTGAACTTCAAAATATTAATGATCAGAAGAGATAAAGAAGGTCATCACATACTGGTTAGGGGAAAACTTCAAGAGGAAGAGATAACTATCTAAAATATATATGCACCAAATTCCAGAGTACCCAGTTATATAAAGCACAGATTAACAGAAATGAAAAACCAAATTAGCAGTAACACAATTATGACAGGAGACCTGAACACACCACTGACACCAAGGGACAGATCAACCAGACAGAAAATCAGAAAAGAAATAACAGAACTGAATCACACCTGTGAACAAATGGACTTGATAGACATATACAGAGTATTCCATCCAACATCATCAGAATGCACATTATTTTTGTGCTGTAGTAGTTCCATCTTTATTAGAATTTTAAAAAATTTAAATAGTATATACTGCCAAGTGAAATCTATTATAAGAGAAACTCTCCCTTTTGCTTTTGAAATTTATATTGGAGCACATTTAACTATTGAGTTTTCTATTGCAAAACCTTTACCCAAGAAATCCACAAGGTGGTTTTTAACAGTCTTGCACAAAAATATTCATGACAGCGATATTTGTAACAATCCAAAACTAGAAATAACACAAATGTGTATCATGAGAATAAGGCGAATATGTTCATTCAGTAGAACACCATGCCACAGTCAAATAATTGAGGTACAGATTAAATGTTCTTGATAATTACTGCAACAAACATTAACATCAAAATAACAGTAAACGAAATAAGACATGATGTGTGCTTCCAAGTATAAAAAATATTAAATGCAAACAGAACTACAATAACAAAATAATCAGGGATTGATTAGAGAAAAGTGGTGGAACGAAGACTAAAGAAAGTTATTGCAGTGGAGCATGAGTAAGTTTTGCAAGGACGTATGGATGCGCACTGTAACTGTAATGTGTACAGTGTATTTTCCCTCAGATATTTAGTAGCAGGTAGATCAGCAGTCTATAAATTGAAGTTATGACTAAAATAGCAAGGTGGTCAACTGCAGCTGATGCCTTTTTGTCCCTACCTCTAATTCCTTTAAAAATTTATCAGAAAATAACAGTATTGTAGTCATTTCAGAGATCAATGGATCTCCCCTTCCAATTAATAAGTAAATTGTCGAGACTGTATTCCGATTTTGATATTGAGGTGTCTCTGTTGTGAATGGTGATAAGCCAAGGAGAGTGCTGACCAAGGGAAGATGAAGGTACATAGTCGATGAGACACAACAAGAAAGTGAAGCCAAAATTCATGAAACAAGACTTATGTTACTCACAGTACCCAGAGAGTTCAGGAGTGATGATGGGAAGCCTACAAAGAGTTTGGAAGCAGCATCTGCTGACTTGTAGCAGATGGGGAGCAAGAGAAAAGGCAATGTGGAATTTTCCTCGGGGGACTTGGCCAAGCTACATGCTGCTGTGCTTAGGACAGTGCTGCGGGAAAGAGGATCAGTCAAAGAGAGCTTGTGAAGTGGGAAAGTTACATAACTCCAGTGGTAATTAGTAAGTCAGATCATGGCAGTTATAGGTGTGTAGGCGGGGGGGGCAGTGGGCTGAGGAGCAAAGGGATCATATTCTGAACAACTCCATGTGAAGGGAAGGCTTAATGAGGCACACATGACAGGATAAGTGAGATTCGAATAAGTTATGGCAGGCCTAAAATTAACATTGTGGTAGCCACAAATTTATGAACAAGGACATCAAAAGACCATGAAAGTTCATCGCAAATGTGAAGAGGCTTTATGGGAAGATTATAGCAAGCTTTCAAGCAAGTCCAAGTTGACTTAAGAAAACAAGTTTAAGTGATAGCTTTGGGTTTATTGTGGTTAAGGAGTGGGACGAGGATAAAGTTCCACGAGCTCTTGCTTGTATCATTTGAACTTCACACCAACACCAAAAGAAAAAACTTACAGATCTTTTTTTTTTTTTTTTTTTGTCTTTTTCCTTTTTATCGGTACCAGGGATCGAACTCAGGACTGCCTGCTTGCAAGGTAGGTGCTTATGCCGCTGAACTAAGTCCCCTGCCCCCAGATCACCTTGTAAGATGTGAGATTTAAAAGCTATTGGGAAGCAAACATCAAAAATACAATCAGTTACTTTATCATCATGATATCTTGACATCTGAAGACTTAAAATTTGCCAACAATCATTTGATGGAATTTAATGTATGTCAGTCACTATGGAACTCTATGTGACCTGAGTCCCCAGTCTGGCAGAGATGAAACTGTAGTAAAAATCTTGTTTCAAAGCCCAGTTTTATATTATGAGAGGTTGAATGAATACTTTGGTCACTTATAAAAATGTCTGTAACTGAAGGGAGGCCTTGTATCATGCCTTTGGATTATATATGAGCATCCACATGTATTATTGATATATAATTTATAATTGTGAATACCTATGAGACAGGAAATTTCCCAAAATTCTTTATCCTGAAGGGACAAACATTGGATTAAGTTTTGAGGCTACCATTGGTCAGACCAACTGAGTGTATCATTGGGAATTGTACAGACTCCATTAAAATATTCACATGGACCTAACTGTTTCCCCAAGCATGTGCTAAGATGCCTTCCCCCCGATGAGCCAATTGTTCTAATCCTCAAGTTGTATCCTCTCCAGGGATATTCAGGTTGAAGGAATGAGAATCAGCAACTCTTCAATGACTTTCAAGTTTGTGTTAGAGGCATTATCATCTGTAGAATGTGTAAAGTGGCTTTGCTCTTGTTTTAGTTGATCCAGGTGACAAATGCAGTAGCCAGAGTGTCCAGGATAAAGGTGCCCTTCTCCAGCACAATGATATCTTGTAAGATACCAAAGGCAAGGGAGCGCACCCATCTCATTCATGTTCCATATGTTAACCTAGGTTTAACACTCACTTTTAGGTCTTCCTCTAGTAATTCATAGAGAACATACAAAGCTTGCTAGGGTGTAATAGACAGCTGGGTATGGAAGTTCACAGGCTTACAGTTTGTGATAATCTCTTTCTCCAAAGAGGTTTTTATGTGTCCAATAGTTTTCACCCTAATGCCAGATAGTGTCAAGCCTAGCAGAACAGTGTCTTGCATCAAAAGCCATTCTTAAAGTAAGTCACACTGTTATGTTGCCAGCCACTGAAGGCTGGTAAGGGTCGGGGACCACTTGTGGTCATCATGCCAACCCAGCAGCATGAGAGGAGGTGAATAAGGTTCTGGTTCTGAAAGAATGTCTGGTGGACACTGATAAGAGTGCCTTTATACTGCATCTTACAGATTCTAGAATTTTTTGGAGGGGGCCTCCTTCGAAATTGTTCATTTCAAAGTGACAGCATAAATTGGCTTAACCAAAACATAAGAAGAATAATAAGTTGCCACTAACCTTCCTCCAAAGGTATCAAGGATTTTGGACTTATTTTCACATTGAGGTGTTAGGCGAATCTGACTTTTTTCTGATAATATCAGGGATGCAGTGGGAATACAGAATGGTATAACCACTATGGAAATCAATGTGGAGATTCCTTAAAACTAGGACTGCTGATTCCATGTAAACCAACTCTTTCCCTTCATCCCAAAAGAATTAAAAGCATCACAACACAGAAATATATGTGCACCTATGTTTGTAGCCCCACGGCTTATAATGGAAACAACCTAAATGCCCATCAACTGAGGCATGGACAAAAAATATGATATTTTTTATACAATTGAGTACTACTCAGCCATAAAAATGATGAACTGGACAGTTTTATAGGTAAAATAATGCAACATTAGAATCTACTCATTAGTGAAATAAATAAGGCACACATATGTAAATATCATACTGTTTCATTAGTGTGACAAACTGAAAGAAAAAACATATATATGTGTATGTATATGTATATAAAATAGTTAATAGAGCTATATAATTGATTTCTCTGAGTTCACTGAAGAGAAAGATTTTTGCTAGTTTTGGTTGGACAATTGAATGCAGATGTCTTATGCTCTGGGTCAATGATTTAGGATAACAATGGGCAAAGTATATATCATCATTGTCCCCTGATTGACATGCTTTGAAATTTTGTTGTATTTTCTTCTTCATCTATCAGGTTCTGACCTAGATCCCCAATCTCCCAAACAAGTATACAAGGAAGGCTTAAATAAATGAGACAAGTGGTATGATTTTAGGACTCTAGGAGGATCAAAACCCTTTAGCTGAGTTCGAGACTCTGGGAGCTAAGACAAAGACTTCTCTGGATTTCCCTTTTTATGAGGTCTAAATAAAGAGCGGGAGAACTGAGGAAAGTGTGCAAAATGAGCAGGGCCTTGGGAGTCCCTTCAAAGACTTTTCCAAGTAGTAAATTATGCTAGTTTAGGACGTCTTAGCTCCATGAAGACATTTATAGTAGGAGTGAGAGTGCAGGTGTCAAATGCCTGCAACTGCAGTCTCTTATCTGCTTAATCACTGGCTGAGTCACTCTGAGGGGTGAGGAAACTCTGCTATAAACTGGGTCATTTTGGTAAGATCTGGTGTTTGAGCCAGGTGTCCTCAGCTGTGGCCTTGTCTTCCCTTTTGAGGTATCGCTGGCATCATAGGCTACTACAGCCTCAGCCAAGACCAGTGATTCATAGAGGTTCACTTACTAGGAATCCACTCCCATTACCAGGCAAGGGGCTGGAGCCTAGAACACACTCACAAATAAACATAAAAAGCCCATTATGTCATCTTAAATCCTTCTCAGAGCTGCTTCATAGTGGTCTCCAACATTTTTCTTCTTCTTTTCTTTCTTTTTATCCTTGAATAAAATGGATTTGAAAAAAATCAAGGATGCAGTAGCCTTCAAAAAGCAGCAAAATGCCCAAATATTACTAAGGCTGTGAGGCTTGTTCTTGCTGTGGGGAAGTGCCCATACCCTATCACACATGACTTAGAATTCTTCCTTATAATTCTTTGGGAAAAAATAGGAGTAAGCTTGAAGAAAATTAAATGTTTTAAAAATTTAGGCAATAAATGACTTATAAATCTTCTTTTCAAAATTTCAAACTCATTCTGATATACAGTTAAACAATTTTCAGTGGCTTGGTTGTGCTTTTCAAAAGTCATACTGAAATTCATTTCCTAAAAAAATGATAAAGGAAGCTGATATCTAAAAGAAATCTTTGGATCTTAAGATCATAAGACAGGCTGTTACTGTTTCTTTATTATTTTCTTTTTTCCCTCTAAATTTTTTACCCACATTTTTCCTCTTTTACTAACCCTTTTTTGCTTTATCTCCAAACATTTTTTATCCCCCATCCTCAATTTTATATCTGCTCTTTTCTTTCCCCTTTTCAATACTGTATTTCTCTCTCTTCTGCCTCTCATTGGTTAATAATCACTGGCGGTTAATAATCACTGGCTGAGTCAATCTGAGGGGTGAGGAAACTCTGATATAAATGGGGTCAGGTTGGTGAGAAGACACAGCTCTACAGCTGAGACAGCCAGAAGGAAAGATGGAACAAGATAAAGTTTCCACGGAAAAACCAAGCAAAGTAAGTCATGGTTTACTCTTGAAGTGCTGTCTCATGTATGCTATCACTAGTTCACGTACTTTACTACCTGAGGCGGTGTTGTAGATAGTACAGGAGTGTGTGTGCACCCTGCTTTCCTGGTAAATTGTAAGTAGCTGATGTTTAAGAAACAAGATCAAGGGTGTCAGCTGCATGAATTGAGGGAAGGGGGAAGAAGTGTCAGCGCTGAGTGCTCTGCTGAGCAAAAGCCACCTTTCCCAGGGGAGAGGTGCAGGCTCAGAATTTGGCAGTGGAAGATGTTAGGGTATTAGGATTCTGGACTCTACGCATAGCTTCCCTAACCACTGGGTTCTCTGTGGTAGTTTTTCCTAAACAGTGACTTATTTTGATTGTCCTTAGCCAGGAAAGTTTCCTCCTACTTCTCTTTCACTGCCAGGTTCAACATGATAATAGCTGCCGGCTGTGCATCTCAGCAGCTACACTGGTGGATCCAGGGAGGGATCTTTGCGTCACCATTTGGTACAATGAACAGCAAGGTGTATGCATGTGTATCAAAGTGTGAACAGAATTAGCCCAATTCAGTACAATAGTGTATGAAAATTCACTCTTATAACTTTGGGAGGAGGGTGAAAATGAGTCATTAGGTTACTTGGCTACTGATGATGACTTGGATGATGTTAGCCAAAGAAGTTAGCAAAATATGACAGATGGAGAAATGCAGAATGACGACCTTGATACAGATGAGGAGGAAAACAGTAATGTAAATAAATATTCAGTCAAAATGGTCATGTGTACCTGAATGATCCAACATTAGAAGTAGTTTTGAAAATGTTACTAGATTCTTGCCAGGGGTGAAACCGATTGGATGGAAAGCCAATACCATAATTCACTGTTGGAAATTGTACAATTATACTACAAGATATACTACAAGATGTTTTAAGATACACTAATATGAGCCAGATGTGATGGTACATACCTGTAACCCCAGAACTCAGGAGGCTGAGGCAGGAAGATCCTGTAAGTTCAAGGTCAGCCTGTGCTACACAGTGAGTTCAAGGATAGCCTGGGCCCCATAGTGAGGCCCTGTCCTCAAACAAACAAACAAACAAACAAAGAAACAAAAAGACTCACAGTGAATCTTTGCAAATGAAGCCAGAAATGATCACCTTTTACAAGATGAAAGGCAGAGTAGATGCTGATGAGTTCTGTGGCAGTTATGAAGTTACTCAAGGCATGAAATATTGGCCAGTGTTTAGGCTTTACTCAATCCTAAATATGTCAGGCATAATTAGTTTCATAGTTTACAAAGAAAATGACAAGCACAAAATACTATGGAGAAAATTTATTAAATGATCGAGGCTGGGATTGATAATCAATTACAAGAGGAAGAACAGTATGTATCTGCTCAGAGAACTCTGCAAAAAATTCTAGAGTAGACCAATGAACAAACAGGTGGACCATCACAAGACCCTGCTAAGAAATAGGAAGAGCAGCAAGATGCTAAGTAGTCACACCAAAGAAGACAGGAAAACCAAACACATATGTGATCAGGGTAAGTGATTCTTGTGTGTAAACACACACTTCTCATGTGAGAAAACTGCATTAAGTGGCCTAATTGAGGTAAAGATTATTTTTGTAGTAGAGTTTTATTCAGTTCACACAGGAATGTATTTATGCTATTATTGTTTAGATCCAGTTGATATTGAAAATGTGATGCTTATTCTAAACATCACTCATTACAGATTAAAAATTTAATACTTTATTGATATTTTTCTGTTAAGTATAGATTGCTTAAAAATCATAAAATTAACATTGATATTTCATCAGTAGAAATACTTATAAAGAAATAGACATGGTGGTTATACATCCACCATAATGTGCCTTTCAAAATATTTCCTGTGATTCCCTGGGGGTTGAGGCTCTTATCTTTGTAAGAAACAAGTGACACAAGATTTTTAATTTATGGGCTTCTCTTTTAAATAAGTAAAGCACGTTAAATTCAATAGATAATGTGCTTTAAATGTGAAATTCAGGGAATTATCTACGAACTGAGAAACTGTGATCATGTCCTTTTCAGATGGAATTTGAAACATAAAAAGGATTTATAGAGGCAAAAGTAATATTAATGGTGTGAATGTTTTGCAAGATTCATGTAGCAAATGGCTGACTCAGAACAATTTAAGAAACGTGTTGGATTTTTCCTCTGGATTTAAATTTTCTGATTATTTCCCACTATCTGTGGTGTTCAATTTATAGATCTAAACCACATTGGGTGCTTTTTATACTCAAATAGCATCCAATTTCTTTTGTCTATGTCTTCTGCATTTCAAAGAATATCAGCAAATTCAGTAGGCAGTGATCTAGTTCAGCATCACTAAGACTCCATTTTGAGATACTAATTTTCAATGAAATTAAATATTTCATTTATTTTACAGATGGGTGTTAAGAAGGGGTTAAAGAAAACTAGGAAAGAAGTTCCTTTCAATTTTTTAGCTATAGCTATCATTATTACTTCAGCTTCTTAGATAGATTGTAGAGATAAGAATATGTATTTGAGGAAGGCTATAAAGTGCAAAGCTATACTAATTATAACTTATTAATAATCATTAGTACTACTAGTTTCATTAGAAGACATCCATATATTTTTCTGCCTTATGTAAATCTTTTAAAAATTTGGCTTCACTTCCAATGGAATGTGAGTATCTCACTGTGCGTGCATGCATGCATTTTAAATGACTTAATTACTCAATATGTATGAAACAAATTGTATACTTGCAAATAAATCTTATGAGTGCATGAGATGTGTAAAAAAAGAAATCAGATCAAAGTGTTAAAAGAGAAATAATATTATTTAAACAAATAACTTAGTCAATCCTTCTGTAAAGTACTATACAATCTTGTACAAAATTGAATCATTCTTCAAATATAAGCACTTATTAATGTAGAAGAATCAGCACATAAGTATCAAAGTGTGAGTTGTGTAGATTTAAAAATAAAAATGAGATGAATGAATAAAGGTTATAAGCTACAGAAATTAAGTGTGAATGTAGGATAAAATGTTCCTCATATTTTATTAGAATGAAATTTGAAAAAGAAGTAAAATTAATACAACTGCTTGTCTTATTTACAAGATAACTGTCACCATGTCTTATATTATTTGCATAACTCATCTTTTGTTTTAAATAAATGCATTATGTTAGAAATTACAGTACTGAAACTACATTCATAAAACTGAACCAAGCTCCATAAATCAGTTGGTCAATAAAAAAATCAGTGTGACATTTAGAGTACAGACAAATCGTTTAAGCACACAAATTGGATAAAAGTTCTTCAAGCAAAAAATATGTCTCCCATTGCAACTGTTTACACTATTCATATATATAATATTCATATAAATGCCACCCATAATAACATTTATCTTATTCATATATGTATCATGCATGTGATAATTATCAGTAAATATAATAGATTATCTGTGCTTCAGAATGGTGAAAGTGGAACCAGTCAGTAAAGCAGATGTGATTTTAACTAGGTCTTATCTGATTTTAATATGATTTTAATTTTATTTTAATGAAAGCTCATTTCATCATTTGATTTTTATATATACCTAGGTTATCACATGCCGGGCAGCCATTGCCTGGACAGCAAATGCCCCACTGTCCATTGAGGAGGTTGAAGTTGATCCACCAAAGCCTGGAGAAGTTCGAATTAAGGTAAATATAAGTGAGACTTTTAGTAGGCATTTCTGCAGACATGTGTGTCTAGAATGATTTTATGATTTTAGGATGAATGGCATTTGATAGTTAGAATTCCTGTTATTTACACCAGGTTTATAATGCCATACATAACGTTTGATCATTGTATTTTATTAAAATGTCACAAATAGAATATATAGAAACAATGAAATGTTAATAAATATTTTAAATACACTGTGGTTTTCAAAAATTTGAAAATCAACACAGGCTATTGTTGACCCATGACACTTTTTTTTCAATAGTTAAAATGTTATTCGGATGTGTGGTTAGGTAGCTTTCTGGTGTGATTTTTTAGTGGCCAATATAATGGTGCAGGGAGGTGACCAGGCCATGTGGCCACTACCTTCATGATCTGATTAAATTTTTATCATAAGAGTACATTAGTGACCCTGGGACTGGGATCCTAAAGAGATTTAAATTCAGAATCTGCTCTTCTGTGTGCATAAATCCTACCACGGGGCAGGGAAGTCCCTGCCAGTCTCCAGATGTCCTCTTCCTGAACTTCCGTAGTTTATACATTACCCAGTCTGCAGTATTTTGTTTTGGAAGAAGAAACTGCACTGAGAGAATAACCCAGAAGACTGGTCTTCGTGGGAATAGCAGGAAGACTGAGCTCCCAAACCGCCCAGCTCTCCCCGGGCGTCTCTGCTGCAGACACAGCAGATCTACCCCTTAACAACAGGTCTCATTAGTAGAGAAGAAGCTCTCACCATGCAGGGCAGGATGGGAAGAGCTCTGTCTTCACCACGGGCTACAGGAGAATACCACTGACTAGGTGGTTTAAAACAAATGTATTTTTCACAATTGTGGAGAAATACACAAATGTATTTTTCACAATTGAAGAGTTGCCACCGTTACTAGACTTTGGTAAACGCTTTCTTCCTGGCTAACAGATGACAGGCTAACTGACCATTTGAACTGAAAACCACTTACAAGTTAGAAGAAAGAAAAAAAATTGCACTATGGCAGAGTCTTCAAGGAAAAACCCTTCCACTCTTCTGTTTGGACATGTCATGAACTACCGTGCTAGGATCAGGACGTGCAAGTTACCATGAAAAGCCTTGCATTTCAGTCTCTCTGCATGGCGGGTAGAGGGTAATGCAGGGGAAGAAGCATCAGAGCGCTCTCTCCCAGGGGCTCCTTCCACTTGAGTGCATGTATTGAAATAGACCCCAGAGTTTGAATGGTCTGCTTTCTCACGTCCACTGATCACATAACTCTTTTACGCAAGGAGCCAGAAAACAAGTCCCTGATGTTTCTGAAGTCTAAGGAAAATTATAAAGACAAAGACATATTTACTAAGTGCTTGCATTCTTTTTCTCAAACAGCTGTATGATAGGAACACAATTGATAGTACCTCAAATGAAAAACCCAAGAAAATGAAAAACCCAAGAGTACATTCTGCCTCTAGATTTTGCAGCATTGTATTTTTCTGATACATGCAATAATTTTGTAACAAAGTATTTTATATCCAGCCATTTTTTTTTTTTCTTTTTAGATTGTATCCTCTGGGCTCTGCGGTACTGATAAACACATCTTGGAAGGGAAAGACAAAGTGCCACTCCCTTCAATTTTGGGCCATGAGGGAACTGGCATCGTAGAGAGTATTGGAGAAGGTGTAACCACTGTCCAGCCAGGTAAGGAGATGAGGAAGACACGGTGTGGATGCCCTTGCTAATCCACTCTCTGATTTTCTCCAAAGGTATAATAGAGTTAGAAGAAATCATTCAATTTTGACATAAACATTAAAATTCACTTGCATACCAGGTTTAGTGCAAAATATAGGCAGCCTAAGATTCCGAATTTTCCAAATTTGTGTTTGGCTTGAAAGGACTCAAAGAAAAAGAAGAATTTTTCTATAAAGTTTGCAAGTCTACTTATCAAAAAGTTGAACTAAGAATTGAATATATATGTAATTATACTGTGAAAATATGTATGAGAGATTTTTTCCTGCACACACACATGCATCTGCACACAGATACTTGAAAGGATCTTTTAAAGTGATTGGAGCAGATGTCATTTATAACAATTTTCTCCAGAATTTGTGTTCATCATGTTTATACATGAAATACTTTATGATGTATTACTCTAACATATATATTATATATATTTTATGCCCACCTTAAGCATCAGGAAAGAGAAGCTTGGACATAATTATGTTTTTCAGCTGATTTAGCCACTGAGTGGCAGAGCTGGAATTAAGGAGCTGCCGTGTCTAAATTCCTGTCCAGTAATCAACAATTTCAAAATGAGTTTAAATTTTAGTGTTAACACTAGAATATTAATTCACTATTTCCACAAATATTAAGTATACTAAGTGTAAACTGCCTCTCCCTAGGATAATTATGCCTTAGGATGCTGATTAGGATGCTGATTAGGATGCTAATTATGCCTTATATCACAGACATTGATTAACACTCTTGACTTAACTTTATCTTTGAATTTGTTTTACTTCCAAAGTAAATCTCAAAATTCTCATATCTTTCATTCATTTGTATTAAAATTGATTTGTTTTCATTTCAAAGGGAAGTATTAATTAACGTCAAAACTAATGACAATTTTCATTAAAACACATTCATAATATCTACTGCAATTTCCTATGAGTAAACATATTTTTAGTCTTGTTCTGTGACTCCATCCAAGCTGTTCACTGCTTGTTTGTTCTCTCTCCTCAGGAGATAAAGTCTTAATATTTCTTCTTCCTGAGTGTGGAGAATGTAGATACTGCTTGCACCCCAAGGGGAACATGTGTGTTAAGGAGAAGTGAGTTCTGATTTGTTGGACTTCTCATCTGTGCACTTTTCAGTGTACCAGGCACTGACTTTGAGCTAAAACTCTTCTTTGTCACTCTGTGTGTCTGTGCAACAGTATCCTCTCACCAACTGGATTAATGTTAGATGGAACCAGCAGGTTTACATGCAGGGGAAGGAAGATTTACCATCTTTATGGCACCAGCACATTCACCGAATATACTGTAGTCCATGAAATTGCGGTGGGAAAAATCGATGCTGCTGCTCCTTTGGATAAGGTCTGCATCATGAGCTGTGCAGTGCCTACAGGCTTTGGAGTTGTGTTTAACACTGCCAGGGTGAGGATATACTTTGGAATTTTGCTCCATTACTCTAACTACACAGTGTCAAGTCCAGAGCCATGCAATCAGAGAGCTCTTTTCTACACTGTCAAAGCCAAATTTAGAATTTATTCTCTGAACTTTCAGGTCACCCCAGGTTCCACCTGTGTGATTTTTGGACTCGGAGGAATTGGCTCAGCAGTTGTCATGGGCTGCAAAGCCTCTGGTGCCTCCAGGATCATTGGGGTTGACATCATTGAAGACAAGTTTCCCTGGGCGAGAGCACTCGGAGTCACTGACTGTCTCAACCCACAGAACCTCAAGAGACCTGTCCAGGAGGTGGTGGTGGAAATGACAGGTGGTGGTGCTGACTTTGCCTTTGAAGCTGTTGGACTCACTGATACCATGGTGTGTGACCTTGGGGCACTAGGAGGGGTGCTGCCGTGAACGTATGAATACTCATCACATCAGCTTTGTAAAGACATGAAATTAATTTAATATTGTTTTCTGTTTTGTTTCATTTGGGGGAGGTTGAGGGGTTTTCTTTTATGCTGGGAATTAAACTCAGGACCTGGCACGCATAAGCGCACATTTTACCATTGAGTTATACCTGTTTTTGATAAAATTACTGTCATTCATTTTAGTCTGAGCACATCTTATGTGTCTCATGGTGTGTTGATGCATTTTCATATTTTATTCCACTTAATATGTGTAGTGCTAGTTAAGTAATAATATTATCTATATCTTAAGTATTAAAAATCATAGTCACATTGAATTTAAGCAGTTCATTCAGGAACTCACTGTGAGCGTACTGCATACTTTTCAATTCTATGGTATTTCTACCATATTGTTATCCTGAAAATATGTTTTAGAACTGTGGCTATGATGGTGTCAGGATGAGAAGTTAATGTTCTGCTTGTGGAATTAGGTTGCAGCTTTTGAGTCATGCCACGTGAGCTATGGGGTGTGTGTGATTATCGGAGTAGCACCCTCTGCTGCAAAACTCTCTTTTGACCCACTGATGCTTCTTCCGGGTAGGACTCTGAAGGGGGCCACCTTGGGAGGTAGGTCCTGCTGCTCTCTTTTTCTTTTCTCAGAATTTCAGACACCCTGGCTGCTCCTTGGTAAGAAATGATGAGGAGGGAAGGCAGGAAAATATAATCCTCAGGGAAAAGAAATAAATGTCTATCAAAAACAGAAAAGCATGTGCTTACCTCCCAACATAGATATTCATTGCCCATAGCAGCAAAAGAACTTACGAGTTTAACATTCTTGATAAGCTTTCAGGGAGTCACATTTTTTGATGCTTATCACATTCTGATACTCCCTAATTCATGAAGAGCCATGGTGTGTCTCTGGATGACTCCCTGGTACAAAAGAAGACTAGAAAAACTCTCACGGTATTGATCCATAAGTCTTCTAAAGGGAATTTTAAAAGTGATAGATGGACGTTATATTTAAGGATGGGAAAAGAAAGTTCAGCCCATTCTTTAACTAGAGAATGGTAAAGCTCAGCGAGCCTTGACAGCCTCCATGCAGCTGCAACTTGTAAGAGAGACACAGCTCACCCAGAAAGTACATTTTGTGTGCTGGTTTATCCACAACATTCTCACCTTACCTATCATTCTAATTTGCTCTGTAAGAATAAGATGGACAACGCTATACTGAATGTCATGCGTGTCTATATGTTTGGGGCTTATTTATCATGGTGGAGCTGGGAAGCCTTTAGAGAGAAGCTCAGCTCACTGGGGCCGTGCTTCAGCAGGGACTGTGCTGGGACCCAGGTCTGGTCTTCAACTGACTTTGCCTTCTGGGCCATAATATAAGTGGTTTTCTCCCCCAAATGCTTCCAGAGCAATATGTTGCCTTTAGAAGCCCTAATCACCACAGTCTCAGATTGGAACCTCCAGATACACTAGTCAAAATAAACCTTTTGCTGGGCATGGTGGTGCATGCCTGTAATCCTAGCACTTTGGAGGCTGAGGCAGGAGGATCGTGGGGAGTCTGAGATCAACCTGGGCTACAAAGTGAGCTCAAGGCCAACCTAAACTGCATATTGAGACTGTATCTCCAAAAAATTAAAAATTAAAAAAGAAACCCAAAACACTTTTTTTCTTTATTTATTAAGCAACATAAAATATTTGCAGTTAGGGCTCTGATAAAGAGTATCACTTGTCATTTTAAAGAGCTCCAACTTTTCTTTTATGCCCAATCTTAATTAGCATTTTGTTTATGGCCCTAAATGAAACATTAAATATTTGTAAAGAACTTTGTTAAGTATATAAAGATTTAGGCTCAACTTTACCACTTTCTAAGGTGTGCATTGGTACCTTAAAATATAAATAGGGTCCACTTTAACTAAGGCTAGAAGATGACAGATAGATATACAACTGTTTTTAAAGAACATTTGCCTACAGGTCCCAAGAGCAGGGGCCATTTTTACCCATGCAAGTCCATACAGTGGTGCACCCAGGTCCATGAGGAGGCAAAAAGAATTGGAAATTAGGAGACAGAGCTTTATTATGGCTTTTATAGGAAAGGAACAGAGACAATAGCTTGAGTGGTTTTTTGAGGGTGACCCCTGGCTATCTGTTAAGTGGCTTTGAGCTGATTTAGGGGTAAGGATAGTGTCTCCACTGCCTGATAACAGGGGCACGGGGGAAAGTGGCAATATGGTTTTGATCTTGGTTGGTTTGTGAATCAAAAGTGTGTCCCTAGACAAGTTCTCTGATGTCTCCAAGAATTTGTTAACCTTGGGAGACCGTGTCTGTCTGTCCCCAGGATCTTGTAATGCAAAATTGGTATAAAATATAGAAATTAGAAAACATGATTAATATAATCAGCGAAAAATATTTGTATTCTCTAAATTTAAGTCTTCTCAAAGTTATAAAAACAGGAAAGATAACTCATATGTGTTTTAATCCTGGTGATCAAATAGTAGGATCCAAGACCTAGGCATGGTGACTCACTGCACTGCTTTTTGAGGTACATCTGCAGAGCAGATTTATCTCTGGGATTGAAATGTGAGGTTTGTGAGGCCGATGTGCATGGAGGCTTTAGTGGAGGGAGACAGGTAACTCAGGCCCATCAGCTGGAAGGTAAGATGTCACAGGGTGTGGCAGGGCCTGCAGGGAAGAGGAGATATGGGGCCATGCACTGTGACCAGAACAGCATGGGTCTGCTCCACAGTCCACAGGGCTCCCCTGGCTAGGGCTTTTCTAGGACATCTGGGCCACCCTACTAACTGAGCAATTAGTGGATTGTCCTACGGAATAAATAACCTCATGTTTTATGCTTAGGAAATGGATCCAAAGTAAGCAACTATCTGCTAACAATGCCTTTATCAACCTTTTACATTAATAGTTCATTGGATTTTTTGGTCAGTTTTGGTAGTTTTTATGTCATTACCTTTTCCTTTCCTTCTGCAGAGTATAAAACAAGATCCTGTATTCCTAAACTGGTAACAGATTATATGCAAAGAAAATTTAACACGGACTCACTTATAACCCATCAGTTTCCTTTTGAAAAAATTAACAAGGCATTTGAACTGTTCCGCAGTGAACACTGGTAAGTACTGTGTGTGAGTCATGAATATGTATATGTGCCAGCGTGAGGTATCTCATATGTTCCACTTTGTCCAAAATTGTTTGAAAAATTTATTATTTGATATTTCAGACATTTCTATTCCGAAAACAGTCACTGAACTATCTATCAAGATCTTGTGCTAGACCCACAGAGAAAATGGAACTAAGTGTAATGGTGTCTTCAGGCAGTTGGTGCTCTGGAGGGAAAGACACCATATATAGTACATAAACAACTGAAGTATAGAGCTGAATATTATTCCTGGTCAGAGCATCCATGACTCAAGGATTAGGGCACAAAGACTTAGTTTCTTACTAAACAAAGTGAGACGAGTACTCAGAAAGTCACCACTGGGATGAGTCTTGGGGACTTGTAGACCCGTAACGTGAAGATTCTAGGTATAGATACTGGGACTAGTTACAAGAGCCAGGTGCAGCATGCAGGAGTCTGGGAGGCTAGGAGACACCCCACTGCCCTGGCTTGGTGCCCTCACTTCAGGAGGAATGCAGCAGGTGATGGGAGACCAACTCAAAACCAGAGATCACTCTGCCTGAAATCAGGAACTCAAAAAAATAAATAAATAAAAGGAAGAAAGAAAGAAAGTAAAGCAAATCAGAGTTTTACTTATAATATTGCAAAAGCTGGGACTGCTGAAGAGCAAGTGAGCCAAACTGATCTTCTCAGCCTGGTGCCTTTGACTTGTTCATACTTACGATGGTAAGCTGAATCCTAAGACTAAATGCTTTGATGATTGGCATAATCTAGGCCAATCAGGGGGTTGGCTTTGTTTCTGGGGTGAGCTAGAGTTTGTAGGGTCTAGGGGCACATAGCACATGTATGCACAGGTCCCACAGAGGGCAACGTCGCTAAGTGCATCATACAGTGTAAGGATTGGTCATGTTTTCCCTGTCAGTCACCACGGTCATGCCTGGTACTGCCTACTCCCCTCTTCTATTCCCACAGGAGAAAGACTGAAATGTGCACATACTAAAAAGCAAACAGTACAGTTGGCAAGGGATAGATTTGTTTGTGTAGTCAATGTAAAGGTCTTGGCTGCAAAAATATTTTTCATGTAAATAAGTAAAAGCGCAAGAACTTCTGCTTCCAAAGAGAACTAAGATTCTCTATCTTGCCTTTCTTAAGCCTAACTATATGATATTGCTCTGAAATTCTACCTTAAAATGATGGATATAAATAGTGATAGTTTAGGTTGAAATTTATAATGTCTATTGAGCAGACTGACTGAAATTAAGTCAGCAGCAAAGGATCTGCAAAGCACAAATGTTGGTTTATTTGGTGCTGAAGCCAGTTGCTGGATGTCATACTGACTCTACTGTTATGTATATGGAGATCAGAGAAAATGAGAGCAGTACAGGACCTATGACAAGGTGACCAAGTAGGCTGATAGAATTTTGAATCTGATTCCCCTTTAAAGAAATCTCAAGCTAAGGAATCTACTGCTATATCCAGGTGCTAATCAAATAATTACATTCTATTGGTCTCTGATAGTAAGAAAGTATCTATCACTAGTATCTATTCACTAGAAAAACAACAGACTATTCTTAACTTGCCAACAGTCCATTAGAAGGACATCTTCATAGGAAAAGATAAGCATGCTAAACATTTGGAAAAACTGGGATATGAGACTAAGTCAATATTACTTACGTACACAATAATGTCTGAGAAAAACTGAAATTCAGGTGACATCGATTTTCATGCATACTCAATTTAGCATTCACAAAGATATCTAAAAACTAAAGTCAACACAACTGTGGGAATAAATAAAAAGATGCATGTACTTTTTTGAGAAATTGGGATAGTCATTGTTGACATGGAGAACATGATTTTATTAATAAGATGGCCACTTCAACAGAGTAAACACCAAAGAACATAAAAGCTGCTACTTCTGCCCTTCCCATGAACTGTGATTACCTGTTTGGTCACTGGTGAGCCCTTGCCACTGATTTTAAGCCGTTTTCTTCACCACTCTGAAACCTAATCTAGAGCTTCACCTTACAGCAAGGCAGTTTACCAGCTTGCTCAAGCTTCTTGCAGTTTACGTTTGTTAGAATTGCTTTGAGTATGAGGTACTGGTGAGAAACATTAGACTTAATTAACATTCTTTTAAACACTGGCAGTGTCTGTGTGGTAACAGGGCAAACCAGTACTCGGACCTCCATGAACTTTTGTGAGGAAAAAAAACATAGACCAGGCCTCTGAAGCCATATAGAAACTCCTGGGCTACAAAAGCATGAATAGGCCAGAGTCCCACAAAAGGAAAGCACTCATAGAACCCTCTGTGCTTATGACCTTGAGAACATAGGTTTTTATAGGTTCTGAATAGATACAACCTCTGGGATTACATGGTATCATTTTCATTTATGGAAAAGATTAAGCCCCTGGCCTTGAGTTCCTGGTGCTGGGCTGGGGCTCCTGCTACCCTCCTCCCATCCCAACCCTCCCCAGGCCTCCCACCACTTAGAGACAAGAAGTGAGCTGAGCCTAGCTGCCAGGGGCTGACCTGAGGCCACCTCACCGCTTTTCATATTCAGCTTCTGTGACAATGGCTGCCAATGCCCAGAAGAATAAACCCTTGATGGATGGGTTTCCAAAAATCAAGATGACCTGCAAGGTTGGAACAAGACCATGGATGGAAAGCAGATATATCTTTTGTTGTTTTTTGACTGTAATAATGAGATCTGTATTGAACTGTATCGAGAGGGGGAAAGTAGTGGTGGAGGTGAAGACAACAGGGGAAGCTTGCAAAAGAGGATTCAGACTTAGCTTCAGGCAAAGAAGCCAGTTATGGACTCATCTGAAGAAATGGGGAAAGTCAAGTAACAGATGCATCCAGTTCTGCTAAAGTGTTTGACGAAGTTATGAAGATTTTTGATAAAGAAGGCCAAATCTGTACCTGAAAGCATCCTCAAAATCATGCTTGAATCGCTTTGATAGCTACTACCCAACCTATTTTAAAGTCAGTTTCAATGTTTCAAAAGTACTTCTCAATTAATGGCTAGAAAATACTCAGTATGACATTAAATTTTTTATTTTTTTATTTTTTTGGTCACAGGAGTAGACAGTGAATTCAGGATAGATGATGAATTCATCTTAGTTATTATGGTGTGCATAAAACAAAGGTATCAATTCATTCTTTATTTTTATTTAAAAGACTATCCCTTTTATAGTTAGTGCTTCTGTGAGCAAAATTGTTTAGATACACATTATATCCCTGTAGAAGTTACAATGTGACAGGTGGGCATGGTGCCTACACAGGTAATCCCAGTACTTGGGAGGTCAAGGCAGGAGGGTTGCTGCAAGTTCAAGGCCAATTCTGGCTTCGTAATGAGTTCAAGTCCTGACTAACCTGTATAGTGAGATTGTTTAAAAAAACAAACAAAAATGTAATTAAAATATGTTAGGATTAGGAATTCCCACTATCTTTTCTTGCAGGTTTCAGATTCTAACTTGTTAGGTGAATTTTAAAGGAGCTTTCGTGTAGTCAGTTCTTACATAAAGTGTTTGGTAGACAAACTCCAAAAATTAGGGACTGCTAGCAGTGTTTTAATATTTTCATCAAATAACTATTTCCTATAGAAAGATAAAACTTAGGGCACTGCAGCTTGTGCACAGTTGTATGACAGATCATAGTCTTTGCTTACAAGGTTTGTGTTGGGATCATGAGGGATTCAGAGCCTGAGCAAACCGTCAGCTTTGTTATGATGTAATTGGAGGGGGGCATGGGTCACAGCTGATGACTGGGTTCCTTTTGCTCTGTTACTCAGTGTTATTCATGATTAAACTGATCAACGCACTTCGTAGAAGAGGAACCCTGAAAGGAATGTGTTAGATTTATGTTGAAATGATTCAGTTCTCGTGCTGGTAACAATTCAGGTTATTGTTTTGTTTCTTAGGGTTAGGGTAAAATTACAAAAGGCAATCTAGTGGTTACAGTTGCAATTTGTATTTTACTTTCTGGAATAAGTTTTTCATAATTATTTGTTTAAGAACATTTGAAAATCTTTGTATTTTCATCAAAAATAATAAATGCATTTTATAATATTCAAAAAAGAAAAGAAACTTAAGACCTGAAGAAGCATAGGCCGCTTTCCAAGATCACACAGCCACCGGCTGAGCAGATGCTCCTAGATGCTCACTGCTCCGTCCTGTGTGTGCATCTTTCATGATATTTTCACATTCCATCATTTTACCTCTTGTGCTCAGCCCCTCAGTCTCATGAAGCCTCTTTCAGTCCTTCCCATCCTGCTCTTGGGATGAAGGAGGCATCTACGACCCTGAACCTTCACACCCAACATCCCTCATGCTGGGCCAGCCCAGCCATGCCCACCCAGGCAGACTCCATGGCTCTTTACTCCTACACACCCTCCAGCACCCGGCATAGTGAGCTCTTCAAGCGCCTTGTACGCATGCCACCCATACTTTCCCCATGCTAACACGTAAGATGCTCTATTGTGATCACCTGACTAGTTATTTGAAAGGAGAATTCTTTTTTTTATTTAAAGAGAAAAAAGAAAGGACATTTTAAAAAAAACAAAGCAGTAAAAGAGTACAAATAATACAGTATTTCAAGAAAAAATATACAGTAAGAAATCACCAGTTAATAGGTTACATATTATCTTCCTAGAAACAGTTATCCAAATTACAAAATTAAAGCATATAAAGTGGACATTCATACAGTGAAATTGGGGACAGTTCCATTCAATGATCCAACAAAAGCTCAGTAATATGGTTTTTCATCCTACACACTTGAACGTACCTGCGGTTATATCCCTTAGTTCACCTTGAAAGGCGAATTCTTGAATGTCACATTTTTAATTATAAACCTAGCAGCAAGTAAATGCCTCAAACATGGAAGCTGCTCAATAAAAAATTTTGTTTAAATAAATCAGTAAATAAGAACATTAATTAATGAACAAAATTCCCTAATGCAAATGCTTTAGAACAGTGGGTTTAGAATACTGTTCATATCTCAGAAGCTTTCTAGTTTTCAGTGTATGTTATTCTTCCTGGTAGAGAGCAGTCTGACAGCTGTTAACAGTAAGGGCATAGTGCCACGGGAAATGGGGAATGAAAGGAGTTCAGTTTGAGATGGAAGATGGTGATGGCCCTTATGCAGCACTTAGAAACCAGAGAGGACCTGTGGGAAGCTCCTTCTCTTACTAGACTAAAATGCAGGCAGCTGGAGCGATTAGTAGTCAGAGGGAAATGAACCTATGACTGTATCCAAGACAGGTAACAGGTCATGGATCCTCCTCCCTTAGTTTCTTTGCTAATCATAATTGCCAGTGACCCACTGGATCTAATCCCAGAGACACTTTCTGATGTTTGTGGGGTGAGGAAGGGTTAACAGATAAGAAGTAAACATGGGTGGACAAGTCTGTCCCTTAAAGCACATGACCTGGAATTCTTTTGTATGATGTGTATTTGACAGGAAAGTTGGTGGCTTCAATACTTGCATTTTTTGTTTTTCAGCATCCGATGTGTCCTCTTATATTGAGAGTCAGATAATGAAGATTGAAAACTGACTATCTCCAAGAGTGATCTTTGTTCTTCTTTATCATTTGGGTCATTTAGTTACAATACATAAAGGCCAGAATTAGAAAGAGAGGACTCCTAGAATTTTAAGAAATGAAGCTATTAAATAAAATTAACTATTTTGAACACAGACATACATTTTGACCTAAATTTTGAAGAGAAGCAACAAGATTTTGTTGAAGAGCCAATAATGACCTTGCATCTAAACCAAAGATCTCTCTCTCTCTCTCTCTCTCTCTTTTTTTTTTTTTTTTTGGTGGTGGTGGTGATAGTAATACTGGGGACTGAATCCAAGTGTTTTCTCAATGAGCTACCTTTAAGGCTTTTGAAATTTCTCATTTCAAGGCCGGTTCTTAGTTGCCAGACCAGGCGCAAACTTAGAATCCTGCTTCTTCAGCCTCCTGAGTGCTGGGATTACAAGGCTACACCTCCATGTTTGTCACAATCTCACTTTAGATTTTTAAAATTTATTTTGGAAAGGTCTCAGTTCAGCTTATATTTTTTAAAAAAACATTGTATGGAATGCTTCTCCACCCTGTGTATGTGAGTTGAGTCATTTCAGAAATAACTTTCTTGATAGGCTCCTTTCTTAAGTACAAACAAAACATGAAATGGCCTGGGCTAACCTTTCCTGGTTGGAATGGAAGAGGAGCAAATGCTGACTCACTCACGCATTTTGCAAACAATATCACATCTTTTCTGTTTCCACTTAATATACTGATCCATCTTCTGTAGGCCTGCAGCCTTAGAGTGGACCTGAGTCAATTCCTTTCTCTGCTCTACTTGTACAGTTGATAAGTAGTTTAATGCCACATTGATTACTGATGGCATTTGTCACACACTGGCTGGTATCTTGGTGTGCTGATTCTCCAGATATGAACATGGATGATGCACGGGCAACTAGTAGGGTTTGAGGGAATCATTGCTTGGATCCTTAGCCAAATGCAGAAGATAAGAATAATAAAAAGATAAGTCTTTGGCTCTACTTCTGCCAGAAAACTACCTTAAGTGCTTACAATATATGTGCTACATTACAACTATAAACATTCTCAGTGTATACACCAAAAGTTCTCTTACATGCACTTTGTGCTCCTATAAATGTCTGCTTTCTAGTCAAAGAACTAGAAGGAAGGAAGCCTACAAGACAGAAAACTTTTAGGTGGTAACTGTTCTTTTCTCATCAAAAGAAACAGAAAAAAAAGCTGTAATTCTACTTCTTCCCATGTTAGTGAAATCTGAGTGGAGGATTTAAACATCTGCATTATCAAGTTATAAAAAAAGCATCCACTCTCACCGCTCCATAATGCTACTGGATAAGGTCAAGCTGTGAACTTGGAATTTCATCCTCACCAGTTGATACTGAGTATTTCCCCATAACCCTAATGGAGACTCTGAAATCCCCATGCTGACCCAGAATTAGCAAGATGCCACCTCCCCCACAGTGCTAGATAACCTCGGAGCAGACATGCAGGACAGTCAGGACTTTGACTGAAGCCTAGCAATGGTGGCACCACTCCAACTCAAAACCTGAGTCCCATCCTCATGTCAGCAGAGTCCCTGTGACAAGCAGGCAATGTTGGGAACCTGAAAGCCGACCAACTTGACAGTAATGGAGCAGCTCCTCCTTTCCCTGCCACAATTGGCTGGATTTACAGAGAGACTAGGACACAGGAGATTTCTTGGGGTCAAAACAAATTGTAAGCCCTGACCTCAACTCTATCATTCAAAGGAGTCCAAATTGAATAAGAACAGTCTGTGGAACAAGTGTGCTCCACAGCAGTATTTAAGACATTGGAGCAATCAGTTAGCAATCAGGGGAGCCCCTTAGCCACGTGTAGGATAAGAGCTATCCAGACTCACCCAAATCACTGCTCTTCCTCGGTGAAGAGAGACATTCTAAAGTCTGCATCTTCTGTGGGGAAATAGAGCCTCCACGTGATAGGGCTGAAAGAAGGGAGGAATGGCTATGGATTAAAAATAAACTGAAAATGCCAGCCACTGCCAAAGAGGTAAGACAGCTAGAATATTTCTGATTTGAATGCAAAATGATTCAGCCACTTTTAAAAGCAGTTTGGTGCTTTCTTATAAAACTAAATTTGCAGTTGTTATGAAACAGAAATTCTGCTTGGCAGTTTTTAACTAAGAGAAATAAATACAGATAGGTGCATGAGTGTTTGTAGCAGTTTTATTACACAGAAAAACAAGAAAAAAACCCTCCCTAGCTGGCGAATAGGTGAGCAAATTCAGATACATTCATATAAAGGAATATTATTGAATAATAAAAAGAAAAACTATTGATATGTGTAGCAAATTACAACTCAGTTGCACTGTGTTAAGGAAAAAAAATCAAACTTAAAACTACAGTTATGTGATTCCAGTTATGTCATACAGCAGTAGCTCAGCTTGCAAGCTTAACTTAAGCTGTTTCCATGATTCTGCTCACAACAAATTGGGTTAGAATAGAATCAAATTTCACCACAAAGTCAACTCTGAACCTAAACTTTCAGTTTTTGACCAATTTGGTTTGTGAACAGAATTGTGGAAAGAATTAATTAAGTTCTTGAACTGAAGCATCACTGTGTTAGTAAAAACTGTAAAGTTATAAAGATGAATCAGATATGTTGTTATAGTTAAGGGTAAAAGGTCAGGATAAAATAAGAACTAATTGAAACATTTAAGGTATTTGTTGTGATGATGTTTAAGGGCTGCATAAATCTGTCAAATTGCACAATATCGTAGACCTAAAAAGTGACCTATATCCAAATTACTTGGTTCCTCAATAAGCAAATAAAAATCTTAAGATCTGACTCATTAGTCAAAGTATAGGCATTAAATGAAAGTTCTCATGAAATGTTATTCTCATAACCAAAATGGACATCTCTTTATGACCATAGGCTACAATATTTTCAAATGTATTTGAGGATACGTGACATTAAAGCAGCAAAGGCAGCATTAAATTCATATTGGAGACCTTGAAGAACACACAGTTGCCCCACAAAATAAAAATAAAGTGTCATTCGGAAACCAAGATTAAGAAACACCCACGGTATAATGTAAAAGGAAAACTATGAAAATATGATGAAGGCAAGAAAGATACAGAACACTGACAAGATGGAATTGACCTTAGGAATGTAGCTCTGCTCTGTTAGGGAAAAAGGAGAACAAGAGACAAAGACACAAGTGCAACAGGTCACGTTTATTTCAGAACAACCCTGAGAGGGCTAGTCGCGCACTTGGACCAGACGGTTCCTCTCACACACGTTGTGAGGTCTGAATCAGGGTCATGAGGAGGAGAGCTCAGTGAAACAGGGTTGTCCTGCCAAGGACAAGGCTTGAGAGCAGACAGGAGGCAGTGGCTGCCCAAGGATGATGCGTGGGAAAGCACAGGGCACAGTGGTTGCTGTCAGTAGCAGGGCCGAGTCACTGGATGCATCTGTGCTGAGGGCGTGGCTTACAGTGGTCTCTGTCTGCCTCGGATGACAGCAGTAGGGCTCCTTCAGTTCTTGGGGAAGAGAAAAAGAGCAGTCAAAACATGAAGAATTAATCTGCACATACAGATTAAGAAAAAAAAAATTGTATGTATGGGGAGCCCAGCCAAGAGTCCCAATTGTCTATCTTAAGAGTGTGTTTGAGAAAAATAACAGACAAGGATAGTATTGTGTCAGTGGCTGGGAAATCAATCTGGATCGGCCCTCTCCACTCCCAAAGAAGCCATTATTTATCAGGTGTATATGGTGATAGGTGGGGCTAGCAAAGGCTTACAATTTGGCAGACTCAAGAGGGTGTAATTGGTCACAGGCTAAGAAGGATCTTGGATGACTCAAGAGGGCATAGGTGACTGTATGCTCTGAAGAGTCAATGGGAAATTTCAAATAGGAGGTTTTGATAACCCCAAGTCTCCAGTTTATCATTTTAGGGCTGTATGCAAAATGAGCCATTGTGAATTAGTGGTCCCCAGGATATGTACAGCCCAAAGGATTACCATGCTCCAGGAACATTCTGGGTACTAATTTTTCTAAAGTACATTGTGTAGCTTGGGGTAGTTATTCTTTCAAGGATAAAAGGGGGAAACCCTGAGAGTTTCCATTTGACTTTTAAAATATATTGAATTTAGTTCAGGTTCCTTGTAACTATGGGATGATGATAAGGCAAAAATCATCCTCAAACTATAGCAATATCCACGTGCTTGCAAATTCAATAAAGTAATGTATCTAAACATCCCACATTTCGAACTTGCTTAACATTCTGCTTCAAAAAACTATAGTATCCAGCACATGGTATAGTAGCTATTTATATCTTTTCTGACAATTCATCCTCTCATGCATACCCTGCCTCTTCCAAAGAGGAGGATCAGAGGGATATAAACCAGTGGGACCAAAGCAAGCCAGAAACCCATCCAGGAAAATGTGAAATCCTGTGGCTCCTTTCTCAGCACCGATGGCAAGTTGTGCTAGCAGATGGCTCTTTCCTACCACATTGCCAGTGGCTGTAGCTCTTATGGTTTCTCCCCACTCTTACTGAGATTTGTGACCTTAATTTATTTTGATTATGTTGCTTTCATAGGCATGAAGTGGAATCTCACTGTGGTTTATTTTGCATCTCCTTAGTGGCTGAGCCATTAAGCATGTGATCCTGTTTGCAAGGGAGGGTCAGAGGGAGTCTTCCTGTTCCAGCACGGTGGCATTTCTCTGTTGTCTATTGTCAGTACCAGTGTCTACTGAGATGATGCCCACTGGGCAATGGCCATTGAGATGAGGGATGAAATGTCCTCTCCAGTCACTGGACTTTCTTGTTCCTTAAGTCTGCACCAGTGGGGTCTGCTCATAGCACTCCTTGCTTGTTTATATGCCACATGCACATCAGCATTCCTTGTCCTGAGCAGCTGCTGCATTTCAATGAAGTTCACCTTTTAACAGTGTGTCAGCTCTGAGTTCTGCTTTCATGAGACGAGGTCTGCTGCATTCTGCTCTACTTTGTGTACGGTTTTTTAGATTCTTTGTTTTCATTCCATCTCAATATGTTTTAAAATATTTCTAAAAATTTAGCCATCCTTTTGTCTTGTTTCTAGTATGGAGGATCATTCACAGTATCAGTATTTTCTTATCGTACTAAAAATGCAAGACTTGGCTAAGGTGTTTGAGTATAAAAGCATCATTAGTGTTTTCGAATGATAACCAAAGGCGAGTGACAAGTTATAATCAGGGAGTGAAAAGAAGGGTAGGAAATTCAGTTCAGATGTTGTTATTATCTAGATCATGGCATAGCTGACATAGGTTTGAAGGAAAATTAAAGTAAAACAGGAAAGAACCACTGCATAACAGAAAGGATCAGATTCTGAGTCTTTGTGGCAGGTGAGAGCTTAAAAGGATATGAAAATGCTTTCAGTGATTTTCACCCATCTGTCTAGAAGGGTGGCAGTATCGTAAGAAATAGATGTTAATACACCAATCTGACAGTAATTAATAGAAAAATATTAAGGATTATTGAAAATTCAAGGCTGTCTTCCTACAGGTGAAGGAAGTCAGGATACAGGTGCTTACCTTTGCCCTCAGTAGCTCCCTGACTGACGGGACTTATGAAGGGTGAGAATGTGAGAAGCTTAATTAAATCAGCTCAGCAATTCCCCATGCTAGGGGGTGGAAGACCTGCCCTAGGGTGGCTCCACACCAGGGTGGTGTAAAGGGGAAATGGGGAAGAATGGATCAGCTTCTGTTTCTCTGGAGGAGCTCCAGTCTTTGCCTTGGGCACCAGCTCCTGGCTTCCAGCACTGATTCTTCAGCTTCTGGCATGGATTCTTCCCTCCTGATACAGACACATGTTGGACACCGCCCTGAGCTCCAGACCTTGGACTGAATCCTTCGGGCTTCAGTGTGCACATGTCCTCTGCATGCCTCCTCATCTGACTCTGGTGGCCACTGTAAAGCCAACCTGATAAATACTTACACATTTGCACATCTTGTTATATCTGTTTCTCTAGTGAAATACTGGCTAATCCAGTGCTCAGTAGTGTTAAACTGCTTCTCTGGTGCTTTTCTTCATAACTATGGATGGTGGCTACATTTCTGGACACCATGCAAGGGTTTAAGGTAAAAACAATGGTGCTTGCTTCCAGTGTCTTTAGATCAGGTAAACAGAAACTTTCCTAGAGGCACCCGGCCCCTGCCCCTGCACCTGAAATAGACATCTGCATGTCGACATGGCAAAAGGAAATTATGAGCATATTTAACTTCATCCACCGCTACAGCAAAAGGATAAAAGGAGAAGGAGAAGTTGGACATCAGCACAAACAGTGTCTGAGTCAGGTCCTGAGCTTTCCCTGCAGAGGAGGCTTAGAGACAAGCTAGTCAACAACGGAAGCAAAGTCTTCACCAGTCTAACGGGAAGGGCAGCAGGCTTTGTGGAGTTTGGGCTTGCAGCCCATTCTAGCTGCTCCCAAGTGAGTGACTGATTTTCTTACCTCTGCAACAGGGTCACACAGCAATCATCTCTGGACCTTCCTCCTTTCCCTGATAACAAGAATTCCAGTGCTGACAACTGGTACAATGGCAGGGGCCAGGGAGGGGACCCTACTCTCAGAAAACCAAGCATCCCTTAGGCTTGCAGGGAGACAAGTGACATTCACAAAATGCCCAGAGCCTTTGAGTAAGGACAGCTAGTGACTCTTCAGCACAAAGAAGGAGGTTAGGATGTCCAGGTTGACACACTTGATACCTCCCTGTCCTCCCTGTCCTGTCCCACCTGCAGATAGATGTGAGAAACAGCTGTTCCTGCTCACAGGGGGAAGGGGGAAGAGGAAACAGGAGGAGAGAGAGAGACAGAGAAAGAGAGAGAGAGAGAGAGAGAGACAGAGATAGAGAGAGAGAGGGAGATAGAAAGAGAAACAGGGAGAGTATGTGTGAGAGAGAGACAGAGAGAGAGAGAAAGAGAGAGAGAGACAGAGATAGAGAGAGAGAGGGAGATAGAAAGAGAAACAGAGAGAGTATGTGTGAGAGAGAGACAGAGAGAGAGAGAGAGAGAGAGAGAGAGAGAGAGAGAGAGAGAGAGAGAGTATGTGTATATACACATGTGAAGTCCTGGGGACTGAACCCAGAACATTCACATTGAGTAGTTTCCCCACCTTTTTAAGTTTTTGGTTTCATCAGGGTCTTGCAAAGCTCTCCAGGTATAAATGGAACTTGTAGCCCTACTGCCTCAGTCTCTGAGAGAGCTAGAATTACAGACTTGAGCTTGGGATGGGGCAGGATTCTTGACCCCATCACACTCTGCTGCCTGCTAAAGTGTCCCAAGAGGTGCCAGGTAGATGTTCTCTCTTACAGTTGACTGCAGACTCCAGAGAACCAGACTTTAAGTTAGGGACTAGGATGGACCTAGCTAAAATCCCAAGAACAGATGACTCCCTGATGAGCTGGCAAAGGGGCCTCATCCAGCTCCACACCCTGAAGAGTTGGTGTGTAGACCACAGGTGCTCAGCCTTACAGTGCAGATCTTTCAGGGCCTTCTGCATGCCAAGTGACAGCAAGACCCCTGTTCCTCTGAAACAGCTGTGGCCCACAAGGGCCTGGGTGTAGGCCACTATGGCTATAGAAGACACCCACAGAAGAGGCTAGGGGGGCCACATCCATCCACCTCTCCTCCTCCTACTCCTCTTCATCTTACCCCAGTCCTGGTTATCAACTTTGGTCTCCAGCCAATGGTAAGAGGGGCTGAACTTCAGGCCGGGGGGTTGTGGAGCTCCGGGTGGTGGCTATGACCAATTCATGAGCAGCCACCTGGGCACACAGTCCAGCGGGACCAGCCACACTCACCAGGTCACGGTGTGAATACCTGTGAGCAGAGGCACATGTGGAGCAGAGAGGCTGAGATGACAGTGGAGAGAGTGATGAAGACATAGTGAAGAACGAGTGGTGTGACCATTGAGAGTCCAGGATTGTTCTGTTGAGGAGCAGCAGAAAGACAGCGAGGGACAGCAGCACTGAGGTGTACAGTGTGACCCTGCTGCAGCCGGACAGCAGGCAGAAGATGCGCTTGGTGAGGAGGGAGCTGAGCAGGCACTGGGTGCTGAGGTCGATGACACTGGTGATGAAGCAGAGGTGAGGTGGGGGTAGGTCTCACACATCAGGGGAACCTCTTGCTGCTTTCCAGTGGGTAGTGCTGATGGTGGCCACTGGGCCCCCTCCCAGCAGTCCTTCAGGTCCACTGGGTCCATTTGGGCCTTATTGTAGGTCCAGGAGCACAACTTCATCTGCAGCTCTGTTGGCTGAAGGGAAGAAGGTGACAGTTTGTAGATGGATGGAGGTACCCAGCACATGGGGCCTCTGGAGAAGAGGTGGCCTTGGTTGTGTGTTACCTTCCACTCCCCATCTGCACAGGGGAGAGGAGTCAGGCTTGGGGTGCTGTAAGCCCAGCAGCCCAGAGACAGCCCAGATACACTGGCCAGAATCTATTTATGCATGGGTGTGAAGCTTTCCCAGCACACAGCATGCACTGAATATCTATTCAAATATCATTACTTCCATTGCACAAGTAGAACTTTTAAAGAATAGTCAGCAGTATGTAGAACTTAAAAAACAATCACTATTAACATCTAAATGTTGTATTCATTATATATGAAGTGTGATTGAAAAATGTGGTTTTTAAATATAAAAATACATAGAAAAAGACACATTGCCATTAATCTCCCTCAAAAACCTCCCTCTCACTTTGAACACACTTATCCCATTGTCGTTAGTGGTTCTGTTGTGACTGCTTCTATGTCCTGATTCCAAACATTTTCCCAAGCCACAAGCAGACCAGGGAAGCAAAGGCTGCCAGAAAGAACCTGAAACACCATCTCCTAACTGAGCAGGCACCCATGATAGACGGTGAGGGGAGCAGTTGCAATCTGAGAAGTGAGAGCAGCACAGATATCATTGGGTCAGCATGATCATTCACCCTCAGGTAGGCACTAAGCCTCCTTCTGCTTCAGAAATGGGCCCTTTGGCTCTGCTGTGGTTTCTAGCCAAGCGAATGCAACAGTGGGCAAGCCAGTCTTGATATGCTGCACCTATCAGCGTTCAGATTATTACTCCAAGTCATATGCTGGAACCAGAGGGACACTCTTCAGTATCAAAGTTCCAATATGCTTATCAAATCGGATGAATACTGGGTCACTTATCAGAAGGAAAGGGTGTGCTATCAGCTAAATGGGAGAATTAGACAAGGAGATGCATCCTTCATCACTGACAATGTAAGTTAGGTGACAGTAGCCACTACTGTTGAAGGTTTGAAGTTCTGAGATTATTCAGTCTTAACAAAAAATCCATTTACCTCAATGTTACGCCAGTCAGGGCCACAAGAGTTCCAACCTCACCCTGTGTCACTACTTCTGCTCTGCCAATGCCAGCACACACACAGAGCCACAAAACACACAATGGTCAACAATGATAAGATTTAAAAAATCAAACTATCCACCTAGGGACTCCATTTTGGGAGTGTTTTATGATTACCTCTTACTTTACTATTGCAATTCCAAATGGGACATTTCAGATGTTGCCTTCATTTAAAATGTGAGTGTGCAGATTTTTATTGTCTTATGAGGAAGTAGAAGTGAGCATTTTTTTTTGTGAGTCCACTGCTGTCATTTTCAGTGTGTATGTTCTCTCACTGGGATTCTCTTTAGATGCCCCCTGCCTTCGATGAGATTCTAGTTGCTATGGTCAGATGGCTCCACTTCAGTCACGCATATGAGGCAACTATGAGTGACAACAAAACACATCCAGTTAGTTTGTCCCCTGAACAGCTGCCACCCTGGGAGGCCATTGGCTGGTTCTAAGGACAGTGCCATCCTTCACTTCGCCAGCCCTTGAGCCTGCACCCTATACTGCAGTTGGCAAGTCTGTCTCACTAGCTCAGGATCAGGTGCTGATACACAGTAGGTGCTCGTTAAGTGCTGCTGCATAGGAGTTGAAGAAATAAATAAAGGAACCAGCTAAAGAGGTGACAAGGACACAGGGGTCTCCGTTACCCACCTAGGGCACCCCTGTGTCCCCCAAGACTCCTGCTGCTTCCTGCTTTTTCTAGAGGACAATGTTGGGGATCCAGGTCATCTCAGGAGGCACCCACAAAGAGGTGATGTTGCTAGAATCTGGCAGGTTCCAGCAAAGCTTGTATTCATTTTCCTCCTGTGGTGGAAAAAGTCTCACTATTGCACTGCCAGGTGTAGGCAGGGATCAACATGAGCACCCCACAGGGACTGTCCATCTAGTACCTTTGAGCCACCAGATGACAGTTCAACTCCCCTGCTGGGCAAAAACCCTGACAGTACTTGATCAGGTGAAGAGCTCAGACGGATCCTGCCTTCTAGCACCTTCTACAGCCTTCCATAGCCCCCTGCCAAAGACATACATGTGAGCAAAGCCATCTTAGACTCTCCAGAAGAGACTATCCAGCCAGATGCCAAGGACCATAGCTATCACCATGCAAAGAAGCCACAGAACCCTGAGATATGAGAAGATGGTCATTGCTTTAAACCACTAAGCTTAGGATCTTTGTCAGGCAGCACAGACATGGAACGATCGGGGGCTTATCGATTTTATTTATTCTTTCAAAGAGCCAACTCTTTGATTTGTTGGTTCTTTGAATTGTTTTCTTAGTCTCTATTGCATTGATTTCTGCTCTGATTTTTATAATTTCCTCTCTTCTTTTGGCTTTGGGCTTGACTTGCTCTTCTTTTTCTAGCTGTTTGAGGTGTAGCATCAAGTTATTTATTTGTATTCGTTCTGTTTTCCTGATGTGGGAACTCAGTGCAATAAATTTTCCTCTCAGGATGGCTTTCATTGCATCCCACAGATTCCGGTAAGTTGTATCTGCATTTTCATTTTCTTTTAGGTATTGTTTAATTTCTTCTTTAATTTATTCTGTGACCCACCTATTACTCAAGAGTGTGTTATTCAGTTTCTGTGTGTTTGCGGGAGTTTTGCAGTATCTTTTATCATTAATTTCTAATTTCAGAGCGCTATGATCTGATAAAATGCAAGGGACGATTTCAACTCTTTTGCATTTTTTTAAATATGTTCTGTGAGCTAATATATGGTCTATTTTAGAGAATGAACCATGTACTGCTGAGAAGAATGTGTATTATGATGTTGTTGGGTGGAACATTCTGTATATATCTATCAAATCCATTTTTTCGCAGGTGTGATTCAGTTCTGTTATTTCTTTGCTCATTTTCTGTCTGGTTGATCTGTCCCTTGGTGTCAATGGCATATTACGATCTCCTGTTACAATTGTGTTACTGATAATTCGAGTTTTCATTTCTGTTAATAATTGTGTTATATAACTGGGTGCTCTGGAGTTTGGTGCTATATATTTAAGATAGTTATCTCTTCCTCTTGGAGTTTCCCCTTACGAGTATGTAGTGACGTTCTTTGTCCTTTATGGTCATTGTTGGTTTAAAGCTCACGTTGTCTGCAAACAGAATGGCTACCCCTGCCTTTTTTTGGATTCCTGCTGCATGAAGTATTCTTTTCCATCCTTTGACTTTCAGTCCGTGAGTATCCTTCTAGGTTAGATGGGTTTCCTGTAAACAGCCTATGGTTGGATTTTGTTTCTTGATCCATTCTGCTAGTCTGTTACTTTTGATTGGTGCATTGAGACCATTTACATTAATGGTTATTACTGTTAAATGCTGGTTTATTGTTGACATGTTATCGCTCTGCTGTTGCATCCTTATCTTTCTGTTCTGTTTAATTATCTGCTTTGCTTAGTGATTTTTTCCTTTGTGTATCTAGACTGTCTTTCAATATTTTTTGCAGGGTTGGTTTGGTGTTCATGAAGTTCTTCAGCTGTTCTTTGTCATGGAAGTATCATATTTCACCATCAATTTTGAATGATAGTTTTGCAGGATACATCAGTCTAGTTTGGAAATCATTTTGTTTTAGGATCTGGAATACTTCACTCCATGGTCTTCTTGACTTTATTGTTTGTGGTGAGAAGTCTGCTGTGATTCTGATAGGTTTTCCTTTATAAGTGACCTGTCTTTTCTCTCTGACAGCTTTTAATAATGTATTCTGTGTTGGATTTCTGGGATGGTGATTATTATATGTCTGTGTGTAGTTTTATTTTGGTTATGACTATTTGGAATTCTATATGCTTCACTGATCCTGATGTCGGTTTCTGATCTCATGCTTGGGAAATTTTCAGCTATTACTTCTCTAAATATCCTCTTGATATCCTTTATGTTGTATCCTTATTTTTCATTATTCCCTATCATTCTTACGTTATTTTTCTTTGCATCATCTTGCAGTTGTTGAATTGTTGTTTCCTGATTCCTTGTTTTTTTAAAAGATCTTTCCTTTCCTGTTCACTAGCTGAAATCCTGTCTTCAAGGTCTGAAATTCTATCTTCATTTCATTAAGGTGGCTTTTACAACTTTCAGTGGAATTTTTATTTCCTGTATGTATCTGTGCATCTGGATTATGTATTCTGGTTATTTCTTATATTGCTTGTCTAGGGATTCTATCTTTTTGTTTAGTTCCTCCAAATTTTTATCTGTTTTCTTTAGATATATTCAGAATCCCTTTCATTTTTTTATCATTTCTTCTTTTTCCTGGGAGATTATTTCGAGTTTGAATTTCTTTAAAGCTTCCTGAAGTTGCTTTTCAATTTCAGTAGCTATTGTGTCTGATATTTGAGGTGGATGGCATATATTTTCTTCTATATACATTGCTCCTAGGGTTTCTTGAGATGGGCTGGAGGTTTGAGGTTGTAATTTGGTCTTTCCTTTTGTCATTTTCCTATATTTCTGTGTTTCAAGAGTTATTTGAAAGCTTCCTCAGGGTCTGTTGGAAATCCCCTTCTATGTTTGCAGCTTTTGAGACTCTGGCACCCTGTTACCCCAAGCCACTGGGCCTGCAGAACAAATGGCCCTCCTCTGCCTGTTCAGTATTCTGCAGTTCCAGATAAGCTGGGCCTCAGGTATACTGTGTGCCCACCTGCCTTTTGGAAGCTTCACAGCTCTCCAAGCCCAGCTGGGATGCGGACGCGGATGTAGACGCCTCAAACCCACCTCTCCACTTCACTGCACCCGGAAGCCTGGAGGGTCCCAAACATTCTGGGCTTTGGGCGGAGTGCGCTGAACACTCACCACAGGCCACGGTTCCTCTGGATACTTGCTGAGATATCCACAGTCCTCCAGACACACGGGGAGGCTGATTCAGGTGCCAAAGATCCACCCAGCCCCTCCTCTGCACACCAATGGCAAGGTGCGGGAGTCCCAAGCAGGCTGGGGTCCAGGGATAGCGTGGGCCCACCCACCCATTGGAAGCTCCACATTTCTCCAAGTGCAGCAGGGATGGGGAGGTGGATGTAGAGGCCTCAAACCCACTTCTCTACTTCACTGCACCCACAAGCCTGGAGGGACCTGAACTGTGTCAGCTTTGGGCAGAGTGCACTGAGCACTCACCACAGGCTGCAGTGCCTCTGGAACCTGTGATCCTCCCCTGCTTGCTGAGATATCCACAGTCCTCCAGACACATGGGGACGCTGATGCAGGCGCCCCAGATCTGCCCAGCCCCTTCTCTGCCAATCTTCTTTATGTCTTAGAATCATTCCTGGTTTGAAGTTCACATTGTCTGCAAACAAAATAGGTACTCTTGTTTTTTTTTTTTTCACTTCCTGTTGCATTATGCATTGTTTTCAATCCTTTGACTTTCTGTCTGTGAGTTTCATTTTTGGGTTAGATGGATTTCTTGTAGATACCATGTGTTTGGCCTTTGTTTCTTGACCCATTCTACCAGTCTGTTTCCTTTAATTGGTGAATTGAGCCCAATCACATTAAACTTTACAACTGTTATATATTGGTTTACTGTTGACATGTTATCTTTCCATACTGTTTAATTGTCTGCCTTGCTTAGTAGTTTTATTCTATGAGTATCTAAACTGTCTTTCAGTATTCTGAGCAGGGTTGGCTTGGTGGTCATAAATTTCTTTAGATGTTCTTTGTCATGAAAGTTAAAGATGCAAGAGCAGGAAATAACATGCCAATAGACTTGCAAATTATTTGTCAATATATAATGACTGCATCTGTGAGTGCGTCCTTTATTGGAAATTCAGGTATACAGAGGCCAGACAGCATTGGCTACAAAAGCTAGGTTCAGGTGCCAGGAAGCAACATGCAGGTTCCTAACCCATGTGCTTCTTGATCATGCAACACAGAATGTAATGGCTTAATATCCATAGAGAATCTCTCAACAATCTTCAAAACCAAGCTATTGATATAGCTGGGCTTCTCCACATGAGAAAAGTGGCATGGAACATTAGCTAACAAAAGAACTTTGTCATGTCTGAAAAATGTCACCTCTTAACCTTTGCCATCTGTTGGAGTCAGGGTTTGCAAAGAAAAAGATTTAAGATGGAATGTATAATTGATAAGATTATATTAAAATATTCACTCAAAAAATCAGATTTAGAGAAATGTAGATCTGTCCACATACTAGATACCTAAATAACCCAGGTGAGAATCTGAATCCTATGACAATATGCTTCTTAAGTCCTGCTGAACACCCAGAGCCCATGGCAAGGACCACCACAAGTTTACCTGGAGACCTAGAGGCACTGCCAATATCTCAAGCAAGTCTCTATCAAGGTTGTGTACTAGGAAGAGTCAAAGTTCAGTGTTGGAAGCTACAAAGTCTGTGCACTTGGGCACAGCATGTGTGCCATCAGGCTGACTGATCAGTACTGGAGCCAAGACATAAAGCTCAAGATAAGGGTCAGAGATCTGCAAAAGAAAACAGTAGCCATGCACAGTACTAATGAGGTCCTGAGCCCCTCCTCCTCTGATGATGATGATGTCTGTGTTCCTATTTGGAAAACTGTGATACAAGGTTCTCCATGAGAATCAACAGCCCAGCACCTTCCCCTCCATTTCTCCTTTGATGGTGTTGCAACAATCCTTCAATGGATGCTCTATGCCCCAAATCATGGTGCCTCAGTTCACTGGGTGATCCAAGTTGACATTACTAAGTGGGCTACATGACCAAAGCATTTCTTTAGATACTTAAATTTCAAAACAGATTTTGTGGGTGATGAGGATTGATCTCAGTGGCATAAATATCTGCTTAGCAAGCTCAAGGTCATGAGTTTGATCCTCTATACAAAAAAAATGACATTATATAACTCCTTACTTTAAAGTAGTCATCTGGTCTACCTCACATAAACAACAATGAGAAAACCTGAAGCTCATTCAAATGTAATAATCAGGAACACATACCTCCACAGAGTTGTCTTCTCATGTGCCTTGACAAACCTCTTATGGGAACTATGTGGTCTCTTTCCTGTGTGTGTGTGCTGCACTCTACTTAACTGTGGCCATTTGCATCACACTGTAGACAAGTTTATTGATTATATAAGGTAATTTTAAAATGTTTTTGAAAGAAAGTAGAAAAAATAGTTATATACATTTGTACACATAAGTCTCACTGCAGTATACTGACAGCACTGAACCCAGGAGAGAATGTCATGAGGCTGGTGGTATGCACATCACCACCTCAATAAGGTCACAGTGGTTATAGATGCTGGAGTAAAAAGTGGAAATACTTTAACAACCAAAACAGTTGAAATAAAAAATGCTGAATATGCATTTAACGTAACAAATCTAAACTGGGCCTGATGGCATGTGTGTGTAAGCCAAGTACTTGAGAGGCTGAGGCAGGAGAATTGTTTGAGACCACTCTGGGTTATAAAGTGACCTCCAAGCCAACATGAACTTCATAGCAAGATGTTGCCTCCCAAAGTTAAACAGTTCAAATCTAATGAACACAATAGTATAATAGTGATGGCCTTGTTACATTAGC